AGTACTATTAAATTATAATAATATAACAAAATACAGCAGAATATAGCTTAAGACATCCGGGGTAATGGCGAATCTAACAAAATGAGTAGGTATTTTAATATACGAAAATTGAAATAAATCAACACTTTACCGTTAAACCTTATTTACAATAAATCGCAAGTATTTTAAGCGGCAAGATGTTTTTAATAGACCGCCGAATATTCCTTTTTTTATAATATCGGCTGGAATATATAGATATTTGCCTAAAGAGAGTGTTTTTAATAACGTAAGTTTCATCATTTGCTCTATTGTATTACGCCCATAAACTATACTTAAAAATAAAATGCAAACGTTATAAATCGTATTTTACTAGAAATTTTGTAATTCGGATCATGATTATGAAACTTGAGTTTCTTTATCTAGGAATAATTAGTTAAGGTACAATTAAAACTAATGAATTAAGCGGTCGGAATTTCAACGTGTTCTAATTAACACGGTACCTCTGAGGTTGGCCTAATTTTAAATAGCCTAGGATGCACAGAAGCAAGAAATATATGCAATGCGGTCATCGAATGCGCACAAAATCGAACTGAGGCGTGTTTTTTATTTTACTAAAACATTATGTTCAGTGAATCATCAAAAAAAAAAACGGTTAAGAGGCGGAGAGAAAAGAATCCACACATTTAATACCTACTCGTATGAATTATTCAGCTAATAACCGAAATCGATAAGTATACATTTTTTACTAGGAAAAATTGAACACGTGTTATTGACTAATTAACTAATTACTTAAAATCGTTATTTTATATAAATGATAGCCGTTCTTATTACAAATAAATGTTATCCGATTTTACTGTATTTGTCTGTATATTTTTTGATAATTTAAAGATTGAATTTTAATACAAATGGTAAAAAGTTAACATATTTTTAATAATCAAACGCACTTTTAAACGTAATTTAACTAATGAATAAGGGTTAGTTTTGTAAAAGCCATTTTATCATATTGATGATATAAACGGATGTATCAATGGAATATAACCTTGAAATCCGAGGGAGGTCGTTGCGATTTATCACACGGATTCTCAAATCTAGATATAATCAGTATTATGTTATACTGTGTAAAATAGATAAAATTAAAATTATCAATTAATAAATGCGTAATCTTCAGTCAAGAATTATCAGATGTTAATGGGGCAACATTACATGGTGTGTTACATTTTACTTAAAAGAGAATTTTATAATCTAATTATGCTTGTGAAAAGGCCTCTATTAAGGGTTCTGTCTCTTTCTCTCTCTGACCCCCGGTAAACCAAGCACAAGTATACTTTGAGAGAGTTACTTTTGTTAGTTAACATATAATTTTACAATTTATCATAAATAAAAAATAAAGATGACAAAATTTTCTATCAATTTATAAATCAATAAAAATAATAGAAATGACACTACAAATAAAATAAAAATGATTTAATTTTTAATACTAATGACTTTTTAGGAAAAAGTTATTTAATAAATCGTCATGTAAGTTTATAGTAAATTTTAAAGGTTTTGTTTGACTTAGTAAATATCAATGCTTATAAACGTTGTATAACATATCAATTTTACAGGAGAGCATTTTAAAGGTTTGCCTGACAGTATTAAACACACATTTTTAAGCTTTTTAGCAGGTTTAAATATAGACTTTCACTAACCACCATTTTACAAGACAAAAACACATTGCACCTTCCCATTCTAATTTGATTATACAGTAAACAAATTATGGTCAAAAATGTACTTTCAAATTTTTTTCATTAAGCCATCGAAATATTGTTGTAAAATTAATCTTAATGTAAAGAAAAAGAAAATTTGGTTTAGGTTTGTCGTATGTTTATAGGCCGATAATTATTTTATTTTATTAAGGTGTTAGTTCATTAAAAAGTATTTTCTAAAAGATTTCTAATATTTTCTAAGAGATTGCAATCTCTAATAGACAAAATCTAGAAATGCAACATTGGATATAGTAAAATTAACTCAAAAAAGCAAGCACACTGAACAGGTTTAAAGGTATTATTATTACGACTCAGTGATAAAATTAAAGTGGTTTTATGCAAATCTGTGAATACAAAAAATAATTACTATTATGATTTACTCATAATAGTAATTATTTTTTGTAACTTTATTATAGTAACTTTTACAGTTACTATACTAATGGTAGTATAATGTTGTGTTAATAATCGTAAATCAGTATTACTTTAGAATAATTTACTGAAAATTTTGACTGGTCGATAACTATTATTGGATAATTATTTTTAAAACTATTAAAATGCAGGGCGGGAGAAAGGGTGGAATGTAGAGTTATTTTTATCTGCGTGTGTTACTCAACCAAACTGTTAACTTTAAAAGTTATTATCCAAAACTGGTTATCGACAAGTCAAATTTTTTTAAAAAATTATTCTACTTTCAGGAAGTTAATTAAATAAATAAATTCCCATTTAATTTTCAAAAGTTGATAGCGCTCAGGTATATACTTGGTAATTCCATATTATTATACAATAACATAAATAAAAATGTTTTTAAAAAGAAACGCGATGAAATTAAAATTATTTCCTGAGAAAATGAGTTGTCTTAAGTTACACGTATATTGATCACTCTGTAGTAGCTGATAAATTAATGGGAAAATAATGTAACATTTTGGTTTTCAACGTCATGCAACTGATTTATTAGAAAAATGACCAACAGGTCATTGATATTAATAAAATTATGTAAGATTACATAATGATGTAAAAAGCAATAATTGTTATGTATTTAAAAAATATATAAAATGTTGGTAGGGGGTCACCTTATCGAAATAAATAAAAATGGGGGTCAATGATCAAAAAATGTTGCATACCACTGCACAATACCAATGTCTTTTTGAATAATATTAGTCGTACTTAGTAGGGATTCTAAAAACTGTTTTATTTACATTTTGAACTGACACCAAATGTCAACTAAATAAACACAAATTCACATATTTACTAACATGTTCCTCAACATAAATATTATATTAGTGCAAAAGTTTTGTTAGGATATTTTCCACCAATAACAAATCATTTTAAAGACATTTTTTTTCAACCATAAGGGTTTTTTAATTATTGGAAATATCCAGTTATTATTAATGATAATTTGTTATAACACAAATAATAACGAATAAACAAATGTTTCCTATATTTCTAATAACAGTACTACATATTGATTTCTGCAAAAGAATCATAGCTAAATCAATTTTACTACTGAAGTAAATAGTTGACAAACATAATAATATTAAGATTGATACTTCTCAAAGAGAATATGTAAAAGTCAAATCAAGAATGAATAATAATTTGATGCTTTCTTTTATTTCTATTAGATACGGTTTTCACCACTATGATTTTCAGACTTGCATGTTACAGAGAAGTAAATAGTCAATTTGTATACTATAGAATATTGTATGATGCTGTACTCATATACAAATTGTAAAACAAAATTATAAAACAGCACATGTTTTTTTTTTTTTATTGTTGAAATCCTATTTAATAAAATATACTATTCATATACTTTATTTTTTCAATAAGCTTTTATCCGATTGTAGTCTGGACATGATAAGTTTGATCTCATATACTATGCCTTAGCACAATTTGCCTGTTACATCTAAGTTGCATGTAAGGGTAAATTCATTATGAATATTTTATTAATTGGATATCCATACTTTACACAATGTAGTATAAAAGAACCTAAGAGAGTTTTGTGACAAAGACGACTATGTAAAAGTATAGAAATACCATATGTGTTAAATAGATCATTAAGTGGAAGGTGCCATGGCGTTTTTAGTTTTGATATTTTGAATAGCTACTCCTTTTGCAGAAGACTTGTCTAGTTACCTAAGCCAACTATATAATATCAACACATGTCAAACAATTGTATGACCAAATGTTAAGTGTTGACCACACAGTTGCTATGGATACAGATTGTGAATACAATATGATAGCTACATTACACTTATAAAACATATTTTTGAGACCTAAAGTAACTAAATAAAGAAGATATTACATATATTATAGTTTATTAAATTTTAATAAAATAAAATATTGAAACAAATTTACTATCATTCTAATAAGAGTCAATATCACACAAAATATCCAAACAAAACATTTTAAAATTATTTTTAAAAAGAAAAGGCATGTACCTAGTATCCATTGGAATTTAAAAACAAATATGGACTATAATTTACAATAATAAGGAATAATCAAAATGTGTATTATTATTGTTAAAAAAATAGTTAACAGTTTTGACTGTATAAGCCTCCCAGGCATTTTACATTTGAGGTTAGTTATTATAATGGGTATTTTCTTAAAGCACATAGAAAATTCCTGTTACAGGAGATGTAATTTTTTTTTACGTGTCATATGTGACGTTTTACAGTAATATTCCAACACAATAACATTAAACATAAGTCAAAACAAGACAAACAAAATACTTCTATGTTATTATACTGATAAGTGCGCCCAAATCACCCGGTGGAGTTCGATTGTTTTGCGGACGAAGGAAAATTGGTACTGTGGCCTAATACTTTTATCCAATTAGTCCATATGTAAATTAGAGTTTTAGCGTATTTTAATTTGTAAAAAGCTTAGATTTCTAATGATTTACCTGAATTTATAGAGGGATTAGAAGTCACCCTGACGAACTCTGCCATTTTTCGATACTGACTGGTCCAAAAATTATAGCAGTGTCACCATTTAACAAATGTAAAACTATCCACATATTGATAAAGGCACATCTAGTTTTATTGTAAAACACATTTTACGGCTTTTCTAGATTTTTAATTAATTAAATATCTATGTAAATTAAAAATCTAACATTTTTAAAAAAAATATTTACGATGCACTTGTAAATACTATTCAAAGAATCAAAATAAAATATCATACTTGAATTTTGATATTATAATTATTATTTTTCGTTATCAATATAAAAGTGTTGAGTTATCTATTGATGACGTGTGTGATAACAATATTGAATTGAATGAAATCTATCTGTTCAAATAATTACTATTTATTTTTTAATTTAAATTATACCTACTAGTAAACTACTGCTGTGTAGTCTTGTAGACTAAGTAGGTAGTCTCCAGACTAAGCAGTATTACAATATTTAATCTTTAACTGTTGTTTATAATTTTTTAGTTAAATTTTAACATGATTTTTTTATGTTTTATTCAAAAAGTCTTATAATCAAGATTTGTTTTTATTGTATCTCTTCTACTTAGATAATTTATATCTAGTTATTCAACTGCAATTTTTCAAGAATCATGTCTAACGAAGTATACATTGTTTCGGCTGTCCGTACACCGATAGGTGAGTATAATTTTTATTTAAGCACCTATACAATTAAATAAATAATTTTGTAGTTTCAAGTTTTATGACATTTAAAAGACAACATTTTAAAATTACTACTGTGATTAAATAAAACATTAAATTTAAGAAATAATCATATTTTTATTGGATTATAGATATTTGATTAACTGCTGTAGTCTTCAGACTTGAGTATTTGTTAAACTTTTTAAATTAACCATTAATTAATTAGCTTAGAAAACAATCAAATTTAATTCGTTCAACTACTATTTAATTTTACAACTAATGTACTTGTATATTAGTTTTACAATTATGTATCTTTTATAAGTGGTAATTTATACTGCAATAATTATTTTAGAAATAATTATTTTATAATTAATTTTAGAACAAGAACCAAAATATATGCATTTTATAGGTTTTACAGTACGTTACTATTACCTACTATTAAAGTATATTTTTAATAAGATATGCTTTTCTTTAACATAATAATTAAACTATAACAATTTTATACCAGTATATTTATTATTTATCAAAGTCCAAGTTCAAGGTATTATATAGTAAATAGTAATAGTATGCAAGACATAACAAAATATTTTTTTGTTTATAAGGCATATCTATAGTCATATAATTTAAGGGGCCTCAACACTAGCATTTATTAAGTTGCATTGTATAGGTAATTTTTACTAAAACTTAACATTAAGTATTTTATGCATTTCAGAGTATAGTTAAAATAAAAATTTGTTGGTTTTAACCAAAAATACACAGGTTTAGACTTAAGAGGCCCTTTAAATATCTTCATTTAACATATTAAATTGCAGAAAAATTAGTAATACAAATTTTAAAAAAATGTTTGAGTATAATTTATTTTTGGAAACCAGAATAGTTAGTTAAAGTTCAAATAATATTATAGAATTATAAATCTATATCTTTCCTCCAAAATTATTGAGTTGTAAAAATTTAACTTAGGTAATGCTTTAATTCATGAGTAATTTCATCAGGTTTAATTTAAAAGTTTATAATATACTATGCAACATGCATCTCTGGTCTTAAATAAGACAAAATAATAACCTTATAAAGTACATAAAATATACATAGGTATGAAACACCTAAGGATGTATATAAAGTATTGTATTGGTTTAGTTGCTAATATTTTATACTTGAAAACCAATAGTAGCTTAATGCTAGTTTCATGAACTTGTATTCAATAACAAACACAATACAAAACTAGTCACATGTAACATTCAAGGAGTTAATTTTATATATTGTATAAGGCATTTATTTCAGATCATGTTAGACTTTGGTAAAGGATCCTATAAAGAATTAAAAGAAGTTGCTATGGATAGAGAGGAGTGTAGAAACATTTCATTAATGAACCAATCCACTGGTTGAAAAAAAAAAAAAATCTATAGAAAATGAAATGAATTACATTTTTTGCTTATAAAATATTATAGGTATTCAAGTAATTATGTATAAATACAAAATATTTCAAGTTAAGTTAATGATTGTATTTTATTTAGTGACCCCATTAACATTTATGATAATATGAGAACTTATATAATAGGTACATATTTCATTGTAACATTTAAGCTAATTAATCAAAAGTTATGTATTAAAAAGGATTTAAATATGAGCCTATCAATATCTAGTTTTATCTGTTGAATGCATATTATAAATTGTCTATTAAAACATCTGAGTTATTTTATAACCATTGTTTGACCTTTTAATTAGTGTTATCCCATGTATCTGTGAATTATATAATTTAATGAAATGTATGTTAGTTAAGATTTAAAACTAAATGATATGGGCCAAAATGTAATTTTAAATTGAAATATTAATGGAATTATAAATACGGTGGAATTATAGTAATAATAATAAGTAATAAATAAAGCTAGCACAGTAGTAGGGTTGGGGCATTACAGGGATGAGGATGTCACAGGTCTTCGGGAGTTATTATAACTGAAAGTGAATAACTTTGTTTCAAATAAGCGGTTTGATGCAAAACTGTAGATGGGAAAACTCTAAAATATAATCACTTAAATTAAAGTTTTAACACATTTATAATAAGAGGATACCATCTCATGACTTAAATATTTAAGAGGAGGGATCCAAAGTTACACTTCTAAAAAAAAAATTAAGACAAAAAAATATTAAATGTATTTAAACTTAATCAAATAGTTGTGAATTTTAAGCACCAGCTGTGAGTTATAAATATAACAGTTTCTTTCGTTTTTTTACTTTTGATTATGCTATATTTTATTTTAGTAATTTATAGTTTTTCAATGTTTCATTCATGTATATTTTCTATTACGTAAATGGTGATGCTATTTTTATTTTTGTTTAAAAGAAAATCATAAATATATGCGTTACTCATAGTCTTTTAATAGTTTTTATGCTAATAATACTTCTAGATAGGTATCTATTAAGAAATACTATTACACATCTTTTGCCATTTATTATTTGTGCTGATGAACAGCAAAATAATAATTTTATATTAGATATATTCATTTACTTTTAAAAAAATATAATATTTTGGTAGTTTCTATTTAAGGAGAATAACAGTTTTAATTTTTGAAATAATTAATTAGTTATTTGTCTATTAGTGATGATCGTATATCCAGATTTCTATATTTCTATCACTAGATATATTTATAGATATATTTATGGCCATACATTTCTAATTTTTTAATTTAAAGTTTACATCGCCATTATAACTTTAAATGTACCTATATTATAGGTTCTTTTTGTGGTTCGTTATCATCATTAAAATCACACCAACTGGGACGTGCAGTTATTTCAGAAGTACTTAAGCGAGCCGATGTCAGTCCAAATGATGTGTCTGAAGTTATTATTGGGCAGGTAAATTATAACTAATTGTTCTTTCTAATATGTATATTTAATTAAGTTATATCGTCCAAATTAGGCTCTCACTGCTGGACAAGGTCAAAATCCAGCTAGACAAGCCTCGGTCAATGCTGGAATTCCGTATAGTGTACCAGCTTATTCCATTAATATGCTCTGCGGATCTGGATTAAAGTAAGTAAAAATATCAATTGTTTACAAAATATAGTACGATGAACTATTATAGTTTGTATATCATTCCCCCTCCCCCCAAAAAAAAACCCCAGAAAATTGAAGAAAATCCCATGTGAAAAAAATATGTTAATTATAAAAATTTAATGGTTGATTAGGGCGGTTGTACTTGGATACCAGGCAATTAAATGTGGTGATTCTTCAATTGTCATTGCGGGAGGTCAAGAAAGTATGAGTAACTCGCCTCACGTTGTAAATATTAGATCGGGAATCAAAATGGGGAACACTGATTTAGTGGATACAATGCTCTATGATGGATTGACTGATGCATTTAACAACATACATATGGGTATCACTGGTAAGATAAAGTGTTGATTTTTTTATGTTATATAATACATATTTGTTCTTGTGTGGGTGAAATTTACTATAGACACGCAATACATTTGAAACAATCGACTAAACATTATTATACCATATTTATAGATTTCGTAGTGGTAAATCTATAAAAAATGGAAACGTAAAAGCAGTATTCGGTCCGTATTCTTCTATAATATATTTCATTTATGGTTTTAACAATCCTACTCGTTCTAAGAAAACAAAGCATTGCCATATATCTACATTTTGCTTTTATTTTGTTATTCCAATTGGAATAATATTCAAGTTTATTTAGTAACCATAGCCCGTATCAGAGCATATTTATAAAACCTCTCTATGATTTAATCTCCTATATAGTTACATATTTTTTTACAATTTTAATAAATTCATAATCCAAATACTTGTTCCAAAACAAAAAAAATGTTTTAAATACTTCTTCTGGAAAAATATTTCAAATGTGTGGCTCACCATAATTAGAACGGAATCATATTTTTTTAACTTTTGTTTAGTCACACAGGATAAACATTTTTCATTAAAAACGGTACTTATTTTATTAATTTAAAAAACAGTTTTTTTTTAAATTTATATTTATGAGTGTATTCTGTACGCTAACAATTCTTATAACGAATAAATTTAATTTAAAAAAAAGGTTATATAGGTCGCTAATAGGCACACTGGAAGGATAATATATAATTTCAATTGTCAATAATGTAAGATATACAACACCTAAACAAAACTTTTTATATGATTTAAGTAATAAAACAATATAGTATTAAGAAAAAATACCCTTCACTACAAAAATTATACTCTTTTATAATATATGCATATTTGGGTAGCAATGCTGATAATATCAGCTTTCAAAGCAGAATGAAGAGCTATTTTAATCTGACATTTCTACATAAGTTTATAATATTTGTGATGGAAAATAATACTGTGACTGATATGAAATGAACTAAAAAACGATTTAAGACAATATTTATTAATTTGTTATTATTTTTTTAGCGGAAAACATTGCTGAGAAATATGAGCTTTCTAGACAAGTCCAAGATAGTTACGCTTTAGATTCTCAAAAAAAAGCAGTAGAAGCTCAGGAAAAAGGATACTTTAAAGATGAAATTACACCAGTTGAGATAAAAGTACGAAGATCTACCGTTTTGTTCGATACAGATGAATATCTAAAACCGGAAACCACCCTGGAATCGTTATCAGCATTGAAACCAGTATTCAAACCTGTATGTATGAACTCTTTAATGAAATAATTTGAATTCATCGAGTAATAAAAATGTTCATTCTTGAAAATCTAGAACGGAACAGTCACTGCTGGAAATGCATCAGGGTTAAATGACGGTGCCGCCGTTGTTCTTTTAATGAGTGCTGATGAATGCAAAAAACAAGGATGCACCCCAATTGCCAAAATTGTATCACACGCTGAATGCGGTGTTGATCCGAAAATTATGGGCACTGGGCCCATACCTGCTGTGTTAAAAACTGTTAGTGAATTATTTGACAATATTTAAACCACTTTTTTATGTGTATGTGAAATTCAAGTCACATTACTGTAACAACTTTTTTTCTAACATGTTACATAATTTCATTACAATTTGTTCTGGCTAATGACTAAGTAATTTCATTTTAATAATGTGCTACAATTATCAGCAGATTATAAGGCAGGCAACATAGGATTTTTGTCCACTACATTATATTACTCATCATATTTGATATAATATATTTTTTTTAATATAATTGGCAATTTTCGTAACTTCAAAATAATTACTTACTTTTTAGAATGACAAATAATTCTAATGTTTATTAGTTTAACAGTATAATAGAAAAGCATTTAAAACTCGATGGAAAAATAATTGTTCAATTGGAGTTGGGGAAAGTTTAAAAAAATGTGTTAATTTATTATCTAAAAAATCCCAAAATCACATTTTTGGAGTTGGGAACCACTCACAACTGTGAATTATAGCAGTATACACATAAAGCTCTATTATTAATATTTCCTGAAAACATTGACTGCCATGGTACTAGAAAGTACCATTTAAACTACGAGTATTCTCATAGGTTGGCAGAGCCAACTTGTTAATTACATTAATTTTTATAATTATTGTTTTTTAACATTTAAGTAATTGAATGACTTTTTATTTGTAAAGCAAAAGTAATTTCATTACACTTGTCAATGAGTGGCGAGTGGATGAAATTGACATCAACATGATTTATTCAACACTGTTGTTAATTATTATTTATGAATTTTGTATCCCTATTTATTTTATGGATTTATAGACCTTGAAATTAATGAACATTAAAAATTGCAGATTGTGAAAGCTGGTTGGTCACTTGACAGTGTGGACTTGTTTGAACTAAATGAAGCGTTTGCTGCTCAATCGCTAGCTGTACTTCAAGATCTAGGTTTGAGTACTGACAATGTGAATGTAAATGGAGGTGCCATAGCGTTAGGCCATCCAATCGGAGCATCAGGTATGATTTGTTATTCATAAAAATATGTAATTTAAAATGATATTATAATTTATAACAATATTTTGACAATAAGTATAATTACTACTTATTCAGAAATGTATTAATCACTTTTAAACAGTCAAAGTTGTGAATCAGTTATAAATAAATGGGAAAACATAAATTTTTTTCTAAGGGAATTAAGAATTTTCTTCTTGATCCTAACCATTTTTGAAAAAACGGTGTAACTTGATCTCACCACATATCCTGATGTAAATTCATAGATATTTCATTAATTTTTAAACTAAAAAATTATTATTTGTGTTACATTTGTACTAATTATTCATTCGTTTTATTAGTTTTTAGTTATTATTTCTGTACTCTTGCCCATGCGGGCTTAAATAATTCTAAATAAATAAATAAATACATTTTTATTAAATAGAATATTTTGTCCCCATAGATTTTAACTGACCAAATATCTTCAGTGAAATAATATTATTTTGCGTCTTGTAGGATTATTGAAATCATTGTACTTCTTGTATGTTTTAATTTCTTTTTTTTTTCTGTATCCACAGTTACTTTTTAACCAATGTACCAATTATAAAATTTAAATTCGTCACTCGTTGGTATTTCATACTACTTTCAATGTACACAGGTTGTTTGATTAAATGTAAGATTTTTTTTAGATATTTTAATAGATTTTTAGTTAAAAATTTGTTTGTTAGTTTTTTTATCATATTATGAATTTTCCAATTGATCAATCTAAACGTTAAATAGTTTATTCTCGATTTAAAATGTTTATAAAACATATTGTATAGCTAACCAAAAAAAAAAAAATAATAATAATCTGTACTCATTTATTGAAAAAAACCAAATTACACTATTTTACTTACATTTATAGTGATTAAATGATTTCTATCATCCAAAGTTATTGTTTTTGCCGCTCTATCATATTTTATTACCTCTATTACGTACATTGATGTAAGAAATCTGATTTTTATGAACCAACCTTCTACTTTCATAGACACATTTGTGCTTAAAGACTTTTTTTATTGTAATTTACCTTTTTTTTTTATTGTAATTTACCTTTTTTTTTTATTGTAATATTATAATGATATTGTTTTATTTTAGGGGCCAGAGTATTGGTCACGCTTGTGCACACACTGATGAGAAACGGGAAGAAACGAGGTGTCGCATCATTATGTGTTGGCGGTGGCATGGGAATTGCCATTGCTGTTGAGACATTGTAGTAAAACATAGTTTATTCATTATTTATTTGTGTATACGTTACTACAACTTAAAATTGTTAGCAAGTAAATACCTCGGTATATTTTTTACTTGCTGAGAAACAGTTTCTTTATTTTTTTTTCATAGTATATTTATTTTGGCTTAAGCGAACGCCAAATACTCAGATCAAAGTTAGATATAATTACTTACCTATGTTACTGTTTAATAAAAAGCACAAGACAACCAGTTGACTGAATATATATTATACAAACAATTAAGTTTTTTTTAAAAATAAGTTATATTCTACTTTATTATTAGTTGGGTGAAAGGTTTAACTTGTGATGTTTTACAGTATTTATTACATAGTTATCATTTTTATTGTTTTAAATTTCATTATTGTTTATGTTTGAAATTATTATATATTATATTATATAAATATATATTTTTGTACTTAAAAATCTTTAATTAAAAAATATAGTTAAAAACCTAAATAATTACTATGATTGATTTTAAATAAACGTTCAATTTAATTTTATAGTTAATAGAATTTATTGGTATTTTATGTCCTACAACTAACCGATGCAAACTTTTCATAAATGTATATACCATGTCGTTAATTGCAAAAAGTAATATTTTTTTATGCCTCTTGCCGTCTCACACTGAAGCATGACACTGTCTGACCGATCCACACAGGTATGCTATAGGGTAAAAAAATAAACGTATTCAATTTGAATTTAAAAAACTATATGGCAATGGATATTTCTTGGTCATAACTTATAATACAACTCTATTGGATTTGTTTACTAAATGATTATTACTATAACCGTTTTTGATTTCTTAGGTATAAAAATATTGTTTTAATAAATTATTGTACATAGGTAAGCCGATACCACTTTTTATTAATACCCGAAATTTGCTATCAATAAGCAATACCTATATTATGAAACCAACATTTCTTGCAAAATAAGAAACTGATTTTAAATAAAACCGGTACTAGATTTTCTAATTTCATCAATAATATTTAGATTATTTAATAATAAACATGAAGTTATATTATTGTATACATTTTATGTGATGTATTATAAGTTGTTTGAATAACCAAGAAAATGAACGTTGCATGATTATTGTTCTATGCGTATTAAAATGTATACTATTTCAATTTCTCTTATGACCATTACTATAATTAAATCATTAATGTGAATTATCACAAATACTAATTAAACACTTAAATTCTTAACCAATTTGTGGTCACTTAAGCAATTAATAGATATTAAACTATTAATCTATACACGATAATTAAGTATAGCTTAATTTGGTGTTAATTAAAATAATTAAAACTATTATAAAATAACTTCATATTAAGATACTGCAATAATGGAATGCCAAAAATATAAGACAATAATATGGTGTTACATACTCAGGTTATAATATTGTATGTTTCCAATTTTATTACCTATTACTCGCTTTAAAAATAAGAATTATAATTACTGTATGTGCTTAATATAGGTTATAATTTACTGTTAGAGAATAATATTAAAGCTATATTTATACATATATAATTTTTTTAAACAATTTAAATTTTGAAAAAAAACAATGTTTATTTTTTTAAAAAAAATATGTACATGTAACATAATATATCACAAAATAATTTGATTTTATATTATCGGTTTTCAACAATAAAAGTCTTTTCAAAAATTGTTCTATAATTTTAAAAATTTATGTAAACTATGTGGTATATAAGGAAAAAATCCTCCATATTTTTTAAGTTTACTAAACGTCTGGTATTCATAGTCAATGCTTTTGCTCGCTAAGTCTTTTATTGATGGCACACAGAGTTTACCATGGTTTATTATAAATGATGACCAAATCGATGTTTCACTATTATCAGCGTCTATAAAATAGGAACTCCATTTATTGGGCTTTAGCATGTTAGTATCAGGACAATATTTCTTATCTTTACAGTCCATTTTCATTTCTTCAACCACGGCAATCGTATCGAGACCAGAAAATCGTTGTGGGGCTATGACATCTTGCAAAATATTGTCACCGACATACAAACATTTAGGATTAGATTTTCCAGTTTCTTTTTTCAAAAGATTATGTAATTGATTCCAGTTACCCTGGCTGTATACATTACCAAAACTTATTTCGTTGGTTACATTCGTCTCAGCAAGTGCTTCGGTATTGTAAAACTGTCTTTGATCACTAAAAAACCCTGGCTTCTTGGCAAAAAATACAGAGATATCAAACAAATCTCGCCAGTTGGGTCCTAGAGAATGCGAGGCGCTGAAAGTCGCATAATCTACATGCGAGCCAGATATGAGGAAAACTTTCTTCCGTTTTTTTAATTCCTTGAGCCAATCGAACACGTAATCCGGACATTTATTATAATACAGAGAAGGAGAATTTTTCAATTTGTAAAAATAGTCCCCTACGTTTGTGGCAAAATTTTCTCTGGAGTACATGTTATGAAGCCCATTGAACACATGAGGCCAAACATCGTAGGTATTGGGCGGACCCTGATCGTCTACACTATCTATACAACGTGCGAAAACCAAAGATATTGGCATATCGAAATAATCCAATAAGGGGCGAATTTTTTTCGACAGCGGTCCATTCCATGTGTTCATAAAGTTTTCGACAAAACTATCTGTAACTGACCATTTTCTTTGAGGCCCATAAGTCGATATAATTTCATGGTCGTGCATGAACCTGGTGCCGTGCGACGCTTTCACGATCTGTCCATTACTGTTCAACTTCAAAATATTGCCTCGTTCGATATCCAATATCAGCCCTTTTTGTAGGAAGTCATAATCCACGGGTTTTCGCAGATGGTCACTGGAGTAATTGAAATTATTTATCAAGTATTCGGTGATTACTTGATATATCATTTGAATCATCGGTGCAATTCGATATTCGCAAATCGTGTTATCCAAGTCGAAACCTATACAGTCGTAGTCGGTTATCTTGAACGATTCCGCCATTGTGTGGCTTTTGATTAATGACTATTTACTGTATAATTTGACTTTGAAATATTTTGATGGCGAATATTTATTTTATTTTTATCAATCCAATGATAACGAGCAGGTAACGCGCGCCTTTTCCTGAATATGATATCTTATGATAATAATTATTGTTCTCGATTGCTACTTAGTACAAATTGAAAATTTTTAAGCGTTACTACTGTGATTTTTTTTACACTTACTTTTACTGAAAATGAACACGTGCGACCATTCCACAATCAAAAGTAAGTATGTGTAAATTACACTGTAGAACAATAAATTATTAATGGCGTTGCGTTTTTTTTTTCTAAATTAAAAAGCGAACAACTATAATTTACCACTAAATTGGCGACCGCGGCCTGACGTTTTACTGAACTGAGAACTCCAAATGGAAACACTATTATAATATAGTTGATAGTTCTGTTTTAACTCACTTATCTACTTATATATATATATACAAACCTTTTTATGTACTGAAGAATAAATATACTGATAACGTACTATTTTATTATCAAGGTCAGAGTTTAAAAATACTGTTAAAACGTATTACCACTTAATATAGTAATTACAACAGGTATGATATTATTTATAATGTTAAAATATTACCTACATTTTATTATACCGACTATGTACTTCAACACATCGTAGAATTACTGGAATGAATTTAATAATTAAACAATTGTTTTAATCAAAGTAAAATTTTCATGACTGTGAATAGATTAAAGGGGTTTAATTTTCTATTAATGCGCCCTGTAAAAAGTTAAAATTCCGCCTCTCTGGTACATTATGTATAGTAATAATTATAAACACGTGGATAAATTAAATGAGTAATGTATATTTTTTATGTTTTGCTACAATTAGTAATTATTCGTTAGATTAATGTACCCGATTTATTGTTATTCGATGCTCGACAATACCGTCAGTATTGCGGTACAATTAAGTCGTCGACCACGTGGACGATTCCGTTAGTCGTCATTATGTCGGTTTCGACTGCTCGGACGTTGTTGACCTAAAACAATAATTATTACAACAGGATTAGTTTAAACCAATTTTTACAACATGGAGCCAAACGTTGCAAACGAGCCGTTTTGTTCCCCCGTCATCAGGATCTTTTTCCACAAAAAAAAAAAGAAATGTCATGAATATGTTGTACCTATTTTAACTAAGATAATAATTATTGAGGTGCGTTTAGACACTGGCCTGAATGTTGCCGAATGCATTTATGTTAACGACAGTGTCAACGGCAAGCGAAATATTAATAAGTGTTTAGTGTGAGCATTGAAATTTCAAAACACGACCCAGAAAGTTCAGTAATGCGTCTAAAAGCATTATTATTATAATTTTATATATTATATATATATGTATGTACATATAAAATAATATTAGTTAATCCATCCTGTCCAACCAACCTATCATGCATTTTTTATTATGTTGCGCTCGTTGAAACATACTTTGTATTATTATGCCACCGATATTATACAGGGTGTCCCATTTTAAAATACTAATCGATTTTTCTCCAAAAATACTAATCCAGTCAAATAGTTGCCTATTAGAGACTTTTAGAGTACAAAGAGAGACGTTATAAAAATTAAAAAAATAGTTCAAAATTCAAAATAGTCGACTTACGGTCAAAAAACATGTTTTTTTTTAATGGAAACCATGAATTTTTTGTATTAAAACTAACAACTTTTGTAGGAAAATTTTTTCGGTAAAACCCATAATTTGTAAATTAAGTATCTTAAGCTATTTTTAGTTTTGTTATTTTATTTTGATGCATATGGTAACCGTGTCATGTGTGGTAAACTTGGTTTGTGAGGTACCTATGGTCTGTGTGGTAACCATGGTATGTGTGGTAACCGTGGTATGTTATAATTTCCTAACCTAACCTTACCATTACATTATCATTATCTTTATCGTTAACGTTATCCTCTTTTCTGTGTATCACAAAGACAAAAACCATGGTTACATATGCATCAAAATAAAATAGCAAAACTAAAAATAGCTAAAGATACTTAATTTACAAATTATGGGTTTACCGAAAAATGTTTCCTACAAAAGTTGTTAGTTTTGATAAGAAAATTTGTTTGGTTAACAACAAATACAAGGTTTCAATTAAAAAAAAAACATGTTTTTGACCGTAAGTCGGTCATTTTGAATTTCGGACTCTATTTTTTTAATTTTTATAACGTCCCCCTTTGTACTCTAAAAGTCTCTAATAAGCAACTTTTTGATTGGATTAGTATTTTTGGAGAAAAATCCGTTAGTATTTTAAAATGGGACATCCTGTATAATTTATCCGTATTAAAATTTGAATGTTGAACTGTTTAAATCTCGCGTCAAATATCAAGTGGAATAAATAAATTACACTATGTAAAAAAAAGTCATCTCGAAGTGAGACGTTTATTCAGACTTGTCAGCCACGTCCCCCGTTTAGGAAATTAAAAACACTTTTATCGTATGATGCATAGGTATGTTTATAATAATATCTACGAGTACCATTAGCTGGTTGCCTTTGTTCGTCACGCACACGATTTCGTTTTTCGTTTGGATTTCATACTGCCAACGGTTGTCTTTGATTAATTCCGACGACACCATTCGTTCCACTCGATGGTTGTACAGGACTTTGCGCAAGTACAGCGGATTGTTAAACATCCACGTCAATTTGTCAGAGCCGAGTTTATTAAACGCGCAATCGGTCGGCAAAAAATACGTATTGTGATTGCCGCAAAATAATTCCAACGATGTCGAAGGTGAAATACTCGATAATAAATCGACGGCTCGCGCGTAAATGCTAAAAAAAATAAATGCCTGTACAGAGTTTTATTGCGAACGTGACTGTTACACGACTGGGCGGGTACCCGGTATGAGCTGTGGATTATTACTGAATTTACCTAAAACTATTGTTATTCGCCACGAGGTCTTCGACGGACACCGTCAAAGGCAATAGCGCTTTGTCAACAGTGTGGACGGCCCCGTTAAAACCGACTACGGGCTGTAAGTTCAACCGGTGTCCTTCGATCCCGAAGACGTTCTGGATACACTGGAGGCGCAACTTTTGTCCCCGAGCCAAGCTCTCTACCATCTTATTGTCATAAACGCCGCTCACGGGTGTTATTATCTCTTTGGCCACGTGATGCTCGACGAATTTCCGAGCAGCGTCGGGGTCGGTTTGAACGCGACGGAGCACGATTGGATCTAAACCTGAAAACAAATTGCAATCGAAGCTATAGAGTATAGATAGAATTTCTATACGCTCAAGATTCGGATCGGAGAACGTCTTGCTCGAGGTGCGATATACGATGACATACAATTGGAGATCAGACACGATCTAAAGCATATTCCGATGGTTAACCCCTCCACACGTGCATTAACTTCTTATGTTTTTCGATAGAATCGCAATACATACGCCCAATCATGATACCAATTAAGTTTAGATTTATAAAATCTAGGCCACGAGTCTACAGGCCCAAACATGATTGGTGAAATGTATGAATCTATTTGAATCGTCATTTACGAGAAAAAGTACATTAGGTCCATTTTTGAGCTACTTTATTTTTTATAGGTTTCATACGATCTCATACAAAGCAGCATTAAGCCAAGAAGTGAATATTTTCGTGTTTCATGCGAAAAAGTAACAAAGCTGTGAGTTTTTTTATTCTCTCAAAACTTCTCGATGAACTTTGTTCGTGTTCTTGCACGAGGCGTTTCATTTTATTTTGATTTTTGTACCAACCAGCTGTTACATTTACATCTCGGACTCAAAACTATATCTGTTTTCGCTAAATCTAAATTGACCTTACATCTCATTGCCTGGTTAGTAGGAGCAAATACCGTCAGTGAATAATTGTGACTTTCAAAAGTATGTGTTAGACCGGCGACGTTAACTATTTGAATGAATTCCGTCAGTTCTAAGTGTTGCTGCATTATTTGGAACATCGATTTCCCTGTAAACAAAATAATTATTACTAGGTATAATAACAATATTGTTATTTATTTCACTGCAAGTTTTAACGTGTCGATTTATATGCGATTGCTTCGAGAAAATCAGAAAATACAATCTAGCATACAAATCTGAGCAAAACTTTTGCTTTACTACCAAACTAGGTGTATATGCTACTCGTGAAAAGTGCATACATTTTTAGACGAAGGTTATTTTATTTACTATTTAAACTAGCAAACATAACTATTTCGAATAAACAGAATATAAATTTAATTTTATTGAGTTATGCGATGATTCACCTTCCTCGTTGCTCAAAACGAAATTCACAGTGTACAATAATCCGTTTGATGTTAATTTCAAGTCATTGCTGATGCAGTTACCCTGGATCGTCACCGAGGAGTTCAATGCATCGCAACTGAACTCCACGTAATGGTTGTCTGCAAGGCTTTTTACATAGTGTTCTTCAGTAATCGCGCTTAAGCAAACTGGTGTCGCCAACATGTGTTTTGAAACGAACTCTATAAAAATATAACTTATTATAATATTATTTCATCAATTGCGTTATTAAAAACTTATGCAATTTTCATATTTTCAGTTGCATACAATTATTAAATTTAACATGTTTGTTATTGACCTACATGTGTAGACAGACAGGCGGACTAAGGGGTTGTTTTTTGGGGAGACTTTAGTCCTAGAAAATATTTAGATATTGATGTAGCCTACAAAATCTTTATTTTTCTACTTTTATTATAGTTTGAGTATGTTTATATACAAAAAAATATTGCCCCTCCCCCCCCCAGGCAAAGATTCAAAGCCCCTACTGTAGAAGTGTTTATAGTTAATTTTTTTATATTTTTTTCTAACTATAAATCGAATTAATTTTCTAATAGCTTAATAAAAAATTTGACTTTTAACGCCTATACATCATTTTTTCTATTTATTTTAGCTAAAAAATGTCCAATAAAATATAAAATTTAGTTTAATGTTCTCGGTGAGGTGATAGAAGGCTAGAATACTATTATTTCCATCCACATACTTCGTCTATAATTTAAAAAGCGAATAACACAACAATTATTTATTCCATTACAAACCAGTTTTCAGTTTTCACTAGGTACATTATTGTTCTATGCCTAATGAATGAATTAAATATTTAGGTTAAACTTTGACTTCTAAAAGTTATCTTCAACATATATCCTTTAAAGTAATGCCTACTGTAAATTTATTTTGTTTAAATTTACTACAGTAATTATAATTCAGCTTACGAATATAACTTGCTCCACTTGCCAAAACAAACCGAAATATTTTTTAAGTATTAAAAACACTATCTGCATTATTTGTCAGTAAAATAGGCAATGAATTGGTTATATTTTTTAGCATGGCATATACCTATAAAAAAGAGATATACCCCAAAATGTTTTAACATGAAAATAAAAAACATTTCATTTTACCGCGGGTTTTAACTATTTTTATAATATCTGCGATAGGTTTGCTTATATATACCTACAGAAATCTCTTTTATCGTTGAATTTTTTTTTTTCATTATAAGACTACTAATACAATGTTTATATTTTTTATATGTTTATACTTACCCGTGAAAAAGTAGTCTAAAGTGACAATAACAACCCTTCACCCTACCCTCCCAATAGGTCTTCCCGCAGAATAATATAAAGCATCAGAAGTTGCCTTGTGTAAAATGACACCTTAACCACAATCAAACGTTATCCAACTAGTCTAAAAAACCTAAGTATTGAAATATATATTATAAAAAAGGCACATTTGAAGAAAATAAACGATTTTTATACATTTTTAGGTAATAGAAAATTAAATAAGAATTTTACTGAAATAAAAAAAAACAATTAGGTTTGGGGGGGGGGGCTATTGACCCTTTAGCCCACCTCTAAGTCCGCCTATGTCAGTGTAGTCCATGAATAAATTCTTCCTACAATACGTTTTACCTTTACTCATTTTCTCATCGTTCAATATTCTGCGGATCTGATTTGGCGGCAGTGTTCGAATAGCATTATCGGTCGGAGCTAGAACTGTGATTGTTTGAAACGTGTCTTTTAGACTCTGATGCACGCGGGCGATTTCAATCATTTTTGCGAATATCGTTAACTCTGCATTCTGAAATACCGAAGTTTACGGTGAAAATCACTTACATTACACCGCGTCTACCGCACATACTTGATTGATCGATTGCACCAAATTCCGATTCGAATAACTGTAAGGACTCAATACGGAGTTGATTAAGTGTACAACTCCATTTTGAGCGATGCGATTTTTTCTCGCCAAAGTGACGCAGTTAATAGTTTCAATCTACGAAACATATTAGTCTTTATAAAAAAAAACATTATTATACTGGTTGAAATGTAATAAAAACGGTGGCCAAACGTCTCCCGACCTCCTCCTGGCCTTGTCGGCTAATTATTTTTGTACCGACAACAATAAAGAAATATGTAATTATTACAGTTTACTCTATTTACTTTAATATTTGTCAAAATATTCAGCGTGATACATTAAATTCACTAATTTTATCTTTTAAAATAATTGAAATGTTGTAGTTTTTCTGTTTACGTTAATTTTACAATATTATAAAATTACAACATTTACCTTTTTTAGTATTTTAGAGAACTCGTATCATCTTTTAAACCTCAAATGGTAGCGTATATATTTAACTAACTTTTTAAATTGAGAATAATTCGCTGAAAAGTTTTAAGAAGTTTTGAAAGTTAACAAAGTTCTGGAAAAAAATAAAAAAGATAAAAATTATAATATTGTAAAATAACATAAACCAAAATGTCTAAAAATAAATAAATATGAAATTGAAAATATTTTTAGGGAAAATGAGTTTCTTATCCTGTATACTAAAATGTTTGAAAAAATTAATCTATTTTCACCCATTGTTATTACAACGTAATATCATAATGCATATTTACATTATATACCTTTCGAATTACATATAATATAAGTTATTACCATAATTTTAAACAAAATATATGATGTTTTTATTAATGTGAAGTACTCAATACTGCGGTAATTTAAGTATTGAATACATGTAATTAGATAACTATTTTATTGTGCTATACATTTTATTATTAATTAAATTTCTCAAAAAGGTTGCTCACTTTAGTTGAATATTTGTTAAATCTCAACTGCAGTCCATCGTTCAACGTACACAAGAGCGAGTCAGCTGACATGTTGTATGTGACAATTCTTTGGGGCACCACGTGGTATTTGATTATTTCGCTAGCCGTCAAATTGCACGAAGCCAAAGTCAGTCTCGACGACTCGTCCATTTTCTGCTCACAAACGTGGGAAACTGCATTTTAGAATTAACACAGGCAGCTAATCGCAAGTGTTGCTAACTACTTTCTATCTACGCCGGGTTTTAATATTTACCTAAACCTCCGTCTTTGGACTAATAATAAATAATAATTACCGGATTACTACTACCGGAACTGAAGGAAATAAGGGTAACGACGACGGAGCTAGTTAAAATTCGATTTTAGAACGTGTAGAAAATTGTCCAAGGCAGTTTTTTTTTTGCCGTTAAGCAAAAAAATTGTTTTAGTTGTTAGCATTGTTAATATGTAATTAAAATGTGTGTTTACGGCAAAAGCATCGTCGGTGGGCGCGAATATCGTGTAAGGTCCTCCGGTGGTCAACAAATCGTACAGACCGTTTTGCTTGGCGTATCGGACGAATTCGCGAGCTCCAAGTTCTTGAGCGGTTTCCAACACGTTCTTTGGCGATTTGACTAAATACACGACAATTACAAAATATGTGCACTTAAGGGGTTCGGCGTATACGGCACGTAAATGGATACTAGTGCGGTCGCGGTGCAGTGCTGTTTATACTTACCTCCGGTGCATCCGGGACGACCGTGCACAGGCTTAAACCCTTCGCAACACTCGTACCTGACAGCTCTGGATGTAAAAAAAAAAATCGTTAATAAAAAATTAAAAATCCTATGACGGTTGGCGGTGACTTGCAAGTCGAAAGCGACCTACGTGTTCGGTCTGCACGTCCGTTGCTGGCGCTTTTCCAAAGACCAACCGCGTTCCCGGTACGTAGACACGCCGTGGCCGACACCCGACATCACTTCTTCGACCGCACACACGTTGGGCCTGCGACATTCCCGTTGCGTTTAGAGTTTTTACAAAATTAAAAAAAAATAATAAACCGTTTTATAAGATCGTGCTTTTCCACCGCATTTGCATAGATTAATACACAGATATAGATAGGTATTACGGATACACATTAACAGATGGTGCTATTCACGTTATACGCACACAAAAGCCAAGGAAACATTTTCTAACCTGTATATTATAATATTATACGCCATTCGTATCGGATTTTGCTCGGTTACAAGACTTATTTAGATTTAGTAGAAAAACATTTTATTATAATTCAGTTCACTGGTATTGTGAATTACGAATCCGGGGAAGTTTTTACAAGTAATTAGATTTTATTTATTCTAAGGAGAAGGAGAAATTCACTCCATTATTATCAGTAGGACAAACCAAGATTACGTATCGCCTAACTGTAGTTGTAATAATTTCCCAAGCATTCCCATTCTATTAATATTACATCCCATAACATTTTAGTGAAAATCATTTGGTTCTCCTGAAAAATTTCAATTATTGTGTCATTGTTCTACCGGGGCGGCGATATTAAATTGTAACCAATATGCTTCACATCAACTAAATTACCTGTCATGATCGGCTTATAACATACTATATAAATCTATAAAGAAGTATCGTCACCTACAATTTCATATCTTGTCCCCCGTGTTGGGTTTGAAATCTCTGATACATATCTGTGGCTAATTAAATCCTTATTATATTCACTATGTACATTTTAAAGAGTGTTAACTTTATACTGATGGCGTCTAAACAAAATTTCTGAGTAAATTAAATTTTTCCCCATTAATTATTTTTAGAACAACTAAAAAAATGTGATAGGTTAGCTTTTCTAATTTGTATTCCATAGCTTTTCTATGACTAGATGAATTATGAAAAATTAAAAATACTCGAATAAAAGAATGATTTTAGCTGTAACAGATACAGATTTCAAAACAGAGCTTAATACTACAGTTTTATGAACTAAAATAAGCAGAATTTATTGCTAATGTGTATTTACAGCAAATGTATTTTTCAGTCTTCTAGGAAATGCAGATAAAACTCATGGAAATATTTGTAATTAGTTCCTGTAGAAGCGTAGTACATATTAATCATTTTTAAATGTGTTTTAGATAGGATATAATAAAATAAGTGTATACGCCTTTTCAATCCCCTCATAAATCAAAACATATAAACGGTGATAATAATATGTGTAGCCTGTAGGTACATAATAAACTTGTTAAATTACCAAACGTAAATTTTATTTCATGCAGATTTTGTAACTAAAAAACTGTTTCTTGGTAAAGTGAAGTTGCTAATAGTGCAATTGTTTATAATACATCTTAATATAAGTTTTAACATCTCAACTTAAACAATAGTTCTTTTGTGGAATTTTCCAATATTTTATTATGTTGGCATTTAACAGTTTTTTTAATAAAGACTAAAGTACTATAAGTTAGGAAATAAATTATGTTATACATTTAGCGTTCCTTTTTTTTGCAGGTCCTACGTAGAATAAACGATATTTATAAACACTAGTTAACTGTTTTAATAAATAAATAATAATAAATAGTAAACGTTTATTTAATTTAAAATGTTTTTCTTATTAAACCCGTAAAACAATAATTGTACAATTTAGTGATGACAATTTTTTGCTTATAACCAACCGAACTATTGATTTTACAGACAGATATTATAATTTATGGTCTTCTGGGTGTTTTTTTTTTTAAAGTAATTTTTTTTAAAAAATCTTAGCAATTTCGATAGTAGGTCTTTATGTTATTAAGTAATTGCTTACCCGTATTTTGAAAACGTAGCTTTTCTGTAGTGGTTATTTGCCAAAACGGCTTCTTGTGCTACTGCGAAAGACATTAAAACAATAACACGAAACATTGCTAATGTGAATTGCAAAAAGCAAACTTTACAACTGTGGCGATTATAATTAAATGGGTGGTCCTTATATATGTAATTTCTACCGCCGTTGAATCCTGTATAAGTAATTAAAATAATCCTAATGGATTTGACTTTGACCCATATCGGGACCTTCCTCTATCGAATTTACCTTAAAAATATGCTTTAATTGAACACGATCGTCGTGTGTGCTCTTGCAATTGAAGAACTGTCAGAATTTTTTTTTTTTTTTTTCTTGTGACTAAGTAACTTAACTTAAACTAATGTATTGTCATTATAGAGTGAACAATGAACAGACCTATTTGGACGTTGCCCCTAAGCGAAAACACGATAGTCAAACTTAAAAAACAAGGATTCAAATGTTGCGAGGATTTAATCGATTTGCCAGGTACGGTTTTGTAAAAAATAAGTGCGGTTAAAATATCTTTGTATCTTTGTACCTAATATAAAATTTGTAAATAAATTCTTGAAAATAACAATTATTGTTATTTTTAATTATCTCAACGTGTAACGTGATTGTTAATTTTAGACGGTACAAGCCATTTAAAAGGATTTGTAGAAACGGAAAATGAAATCCGCGAAATGCTTAAGTGTCCACAATCCAAAACTGCTTCAGAATTGGTAAGTTAAATGAAATTGTTTATCTGTAGTGTTAATTCCGAAAAAATAACTTGAAGTGGTGTATTTAGGACACGAACCGCGATTGTATAGCTACATTCTCTAAGGGTATAGATGATCTGCTAAACGGTGGAGTACAACTTGGGCAGTTAACAGAACTCACAGGTGCTCCGGGATCTGGAAAAAGTCAAATATGGTAGTTTTTACTATATTATAAAAACACTTTGTAGTTTGTATTTATAAACACAGGCTTTAGGTTTTACTATTTTATTTTGATTTACTAGTATGCAATTATGTGTTGCTGTTCAAATACCTTCATGCTTCGAAGGTCTAGAGGCTGAAGCCATTTACGTAGATACCAACTCAAATTTTTCACGCCATCGATTAACAGGTATATTAATTATATTATTGATTTTCCGTGGAATATCGAGTTGATGTCATTGCTTATAGAATCATACAGTGCATTTAATTATTTCACTTAATAAAAACTTGTTTAGATTTAATTGTTTTTTTGTCAATTCGTTGTTCTTTAGAAATGATGGATGCTTTTCTGGGACATGTTTCAAAAGTGTTGTCGAAGCCAAATGAGTTTAAAGGAGCAAATATAAATTTACTAAAGAGTTTAACCACAGCCAGTATGCTAGATAAAATCCATAGAATTAAAATGAATGACTTGAACCACTTGTACGCGTTGTACGACGTCATTGAACAGCATCCCAAAGTAATTACAGTAAATAGAGTAGATATTATGGTTATTGTGACATTATGATGGCACTAAATCAAAGGTTTCTTTAGGTCAAGTTAATAGTGGTCGACAGTTTTGTTATGCCATTGTATACCGTGGAAAATTCGCTGAAAAAAAATGCACTCGTCCACAACGCTTTAGATTTACTGCTAGGCATTGCTCATAAACACGGTATAGCTGTAAGTACAAAATTATACATAATATAGTTACCAAATTATTGTCAAAAATCCTATTTTATCATTTAGAAAAGATTTTATTTAGCTGTAGTAAAAGTATGTGTTTTTTGTAGGGGTGTGCGAATAATAATGAATTAAAGAAAGTTCAAATTTATAGGTATATGGGTAATCGTACTATTACTTACATACTATTACTTATAGTAACTGCGGTAAAGGTTTTAATCGGTAGACTAATTTAGAGTGTAATTTTTGCTGTGTATATTTACCGAAATATCCAAAACTGCGTGAGATATTTGTAGAATAATATTTCTGTCGGGTTGTGATTTGAAAAATTCTATATACAATGTATACTTACTACTATTGCTGTTGTTTATTAATTGCGTCGTTTGGCGTGTCATCTTAGGTGGTCCTCACAAACGATCTGACTACAGTAGTGAACGAAAAAGAAGCCGAAGTGTTTCCAGCTTTAGGCGAAACGTTCGCCCATCGAGTTCATTACAGACTTTTACTGAGCAAAATACCAAATATCCCTAACGGCTATACCGCATTGCTTAAGAAAAGTATGGAGCACGAACGTTCTGCCGCTCGTTTCCTAGTAAGTACGACACTCGTTCGATTACTCAACAAAATATTAAAAACACTAAACACACATGTTTAGTATTTTGGCATTTTTTTTTTACAACAAAATTATATGATAGGTAAAAACGCACGTGTTCATGCTTAAAATTGTTTCATACCTACTTATAATAAGTTATGTAGCCTGTATGTATGAATTAAAATAGTCCCCGTGCATGCATAGTTTAAGTGTAGAATATTGTACATGGACTGTCAGACCTAAAATAAACAGCTGAGGGATGTCCGCTGTATTGTCTTTATAATCTATTTATCAATAACATTTGAATTGCTTAATTGTTTAGTAAGTTGCACGAAAAAACAAATACAAATGATAGAAGAAGCACTTATGTGCACAAGCAATACCGTCGATATTGTCAATTATTGGCTTGTCCCGTATTTTAGTAAAAATAAACAAGTCTAAAAAGGGGTTCGAAAATTTTGGATCCGGAACACGGTGGTGGCCCTAAACAGTTAACAATACATAAAAAAAAACCGACTCTTTTGTTTTTTTGGCATACTCTACTAATATAAGATCACAGATTTTTTTCTATGCCTTACCGGCCACCGCACTGAGCGGCCGGTCAAACCGTACTACAGAAACCAATAATTGTTTTAACGATTTCACGAATTTTCTCTTGCAGATTTCAACGGAAGGAGTGCGGGACCTGCAGCGGATAGAATAAAATGCATTATAGAAATTTCACGGTTATCTTAATTGTGCATGTGTGTGTCCATGTACGTATAAGTGAAAATCGGTAAAGCAAATAATATATCTAATATAAAAATACATTATGATGGAAATCGTAAAAAGTCGCCAACCACCGTTGTTGTGCGCGGTTTAACGACCCGGATAGCGTTACACTTAAGACTTTCAAGCACGGCTTTTGCCCGTCTTCGGCAGCAACACAATGGTGTCAGCCGGCACCTATTATTTGCCGACAGCCATTATATTATCATTGTGAACCGCGTTATGAGCACCCGGCCGTTCTTGTACCTCTCTATCGCGGCCACTAAGAGGGTTAAAAAAAAAAAACAATCCCCTTTACTTGAACTTTTTACACACTCATAATAATAATAATAATAATAATATCACACATCGTTTTCCATCACAAATCGGGCAAACCTACTACCGACCGGCCTATGGTGTGTCTGCGGGGTTATTGATTCGCCTTTTGGGCCTTTCAAGCTCAAACACCTCGTGACCCATATGTATAATATATTAAGTATGTGCATTTTCCAAACATTCCAATTCTGGTTGTTCTACGAAGTACGATCCCGTTTTCGGTCTACTCGGCGTTTCTTTTTTCATTATTATTATTATTATTCATTTGTAACACGGCGGCGCGAGATTGATTTGTACGACATACCTATTACGGGTCATTTGTTTTTTTTTTTTCGATAAAAAAAATTATGAGCAAACGAGTTTACAACATACTATATACATATTGGTCCGTAAGTCATATGTGTACGCACCGTGTGTTCTACTTGTGTAACTTGTACTCGATTGCCATTGTTCCACGAGCGTTTTTTTTCCCCATCTTATACAGCTGTATATATTATATTATAGTACAGGCATTTTGTACCTACATATGCGAGTAATGTTGGAGTTTATTACCACGGGTAACCGTCGGACTACTGATCGCGGTTCATCAAGCCAATCCATGGTTTTTTACCGTCAACAAAGTTGCCCGCCCGCGTTCCTACATGTGTACACATTAGTTTAATTAAAAAAAAATATACAATACATTCATATTATAATAATGCACCCGGTAAAAATGTACAACGGACGGTTTTTTTTTTAAATCGGTGCTTAATAACTATAGCCACTAGTAGTTATTATAGTGGGACATTCGATTGTCTATAGGTATAATAAAGTGAATTGTATGTATTTATGTACATTTATTTAATGACGAAACGCGGAATCTATTTCCCGTATTCAGATGTGTATCATATTATAATAATAATAATAATATTATATATTATGCTAATACGGGCGACGTCATATTTTGTCACGTCAAACGACCCATAAGTACCTGCTATAGTTGTTTTATACATCTTGATGATGGAACGTTTAGTATTCTGATCATATACGCAGAGGTGGATTGATTGCCTGTGTATGATCTTATACCTATTATACGACAATAATTATTAACATCAATATATATATATGCATTATTATTGATTTATCAGATGACTTCATAACGAGAAAAACCACTGTATTTGCTTATTTTATGTTCTACACACCGTATCTGCGTATTGCACACATATACATTGTAAATTTATACTTAAGAAAATAACGGTATACATAAGCCTACGTTGCCCGTAGTAGTGAAATGGTACAAAGTCTGATTGAACGATTTTTGCTTATTTCAACAGTTTTCTAAAAGAATGATTTATTCCTTTTTTTTGCTTACTTTCCTACATTGCGACTTGACACAGGTACGAGATTTGGTGCAAAAACCCATGGTTTTTATTTTTAAAAAGGAAAAAAATACAACAATTCTACACTGACAACTTTTTATAGTGTTGGATTTGATACACCTCTTCTGCATATTAAATACTTTTACAGATATGTGGGACTTTTAGGGCGGAGAACTTGATTGATTAAATTACTGTGATAAATTATGGCACATTACAATATTATAATGTTAAATTAATGTAGTGTTAAGGCTTTTAACCATCTGGTTAAGTATATATTTTTATTTGTAGGCCATCCATAGGTGTGGACTTCATTACCTTGAAACGTACTGAGAAAATGAAAACAAAAAAATATATTTAACAACTGCGCGTCAGAGAGAAAAATACTGATCAGTAGAAGTAATTATTTTAGTAAAAATATTCAACTTAAAACTAGTTCTTAATTTGAATGATTAAAGATAAAATTATCATTATGAATTTATGTTTTTTTTTTTTTTATATCTAATTCTGTTGTTATTAAATAAAAAATAAGAAATAAATATATATATATATATGTGTGTGAAATAAAATATGTCACTTAAGTTTTATTGTATATTTTGATCTCACTCGATTGTATTCATTGAGTGTGACAATCTAATGATGATGAAAAAAAAAATTCTACCTCTTTTGTAGGACGACTGCTTATAAGCATCAAGAAACAATGCTGGTTTGATGTTGAAGAATCTTCGAAAACGTTCAACTTATATTATTATACATTTTTAACTCGAGTTTTCGGAAACGTTCGGCAAGACATAATTGATACTATATAATAATGTATTATTTATTGAGTTTTAGGGAAATAGGAAAATATAGGTAGGCATGTGTGTAATTTAGTTTTGCTGTAAAACAAAAATGTATATGGTATTGTGCATGTTCACTTTTTTGTTTAACGTCTCAGTTTTTTCTGTATCCCTACTACTCTTTGTGCCTATATTTTTCGTACGATTCCGATTCAGTATGACGCGTTCACTGGGCAACTGTTATCACTGACCATCTGGTATATAATATATACCTAAAGGCTAGTTGTTTGAAAAAATAAAATCATTTTCAATTTTAAGATTACTATTCTCGTAGGTTAAACAAAGATAATTAAATAATTTTCTCAATAAAAAATAAACTGAACCAATATTAAATCTTTGCTGCATCTTTCACATGGTATTTTTTTTTCATAGTTGCATAATATGGTGTAAAGTAAACATAAATTTAGAAATCGTTGCCACATATGTTACATTTTACACGTTCAAATCTTAGTAGAAAATAACGTGTGATGTAAATTATATTAGTTAACAGTTAAAATAATTTGCTTAAAAAACGTATAATACTTTTATTATTCATTAAAACAAAAATTATTTTTAATTGAGAACGAGTTTATTCAATAATATCCAATTTAGCAAATGAAATACGTTCAAATCAATTAAAAAAAAAATACCATTCTATCATAATTGTTTCTCTCTAATACATTGAGAAATCATTAAACGAACGAATAACGTCAAAATCGACTTTTACATATGCCACATTAATAAATTTAACAAAATCAGAAAACTTCTGTACAATACTATTATTAATTCCGCCGGATGTTATTGGTTTGACTTTTGCGGGTAGTAGGGCCCATAAAAAATAATTTTTTGACTCGACAAATAACTTGTTGTACACCGTATTAGTACTAGAAATCGGATTTGTTTTAAAGTTGTGTATTCTCGATAAAATTGTATTGGACATTTGGCGGATTTCATTTCTATCGTGTTGGTCTATATATGCATCACTGAATATCTGTAAAACAAACGATAATTCTGAACCTGTCTTGATTTTAAAGAAACTCACGATTTTCCTGATATAGTTTGACACCACGCCGTTATACCGTTTTATCTCTTTGGTCGATACATTCCTTCTACGACATGTGTACATTTCCAATAAGTACTTCTCCGCGTTGTGTAAAACGATATATTTGATTATGTCAAAAAATAAATTCTGACATTTTGAAATGTCTTCTATCATGGCATCGACTCGGTAAATTTGTTTTTCGACCGTACACTTCGACACAATTTGCAGACGTGCGGTTTCCCACCAACAATCAAGCCCCCCGAAGTATTCCAGCAAATCGGTCATTGTTCTGTTGTCTTGAAAAATCGTCGTCACGTGCAAATGACCAATCCAAAAATATTGGCCGTATCCTTGGATTTTTACCACAAGTCTTATCCCGTCGAGTCGCGAATCGACCGACTTGGCAAATTTTCGGTACGTTTCAACCGCGGCGTTCGCATTGGGAAATAAGTCTATCTTGAATTTGACGTACATCCTTCGGCATTCCACACAGCCCATCAATGCAAATATGTCCCGTTTCGATTTGCAGCATCTTTTTATAAAAATCATCCGTTTTGTCTTTTGCGTTTTTTTTACCAGTGCACGTATCGCCATTTTGCCAAAAACCTATTGAAACAATGACAACGAGCCCGAGATCTGAAAACAACATGATTATGACAGCCAACCACCAGTGACAATAGTGTTTGGGATGGGTCTTCCTTTTTTGCCATGTTACACAGTGCTGCTGTAAATATTCGTGTGATTGGTTTATAGCGTGTATTGGTTTAGTCTACAATTGAAAGTATGTTTTCAATCATAAACTTAACAAATTTTTCTGCGACTCATGAGCGAACAGTTGTTTTTAAATAATATTTATTTTGTTCTTAAACTACCAAATACAGATGTATTTGAGTAGACATAGTACACAAGCGGCGGAATCGAATGTATTTTATAAGGCCTGTATCTTAAAAATAAATTATTAATTATTTATTCATAAAATAATGTGAAGAATAATCACAGCAAATATATGTGTAAAAGGTATGAACATAAAAGATAGTTACCTATCCAATCTTCAGCATCTTTGATTAGTTTTATAATTCCGTTCTGATACCTCTTTAAACCTTCTCCCACAGGGCAACCCAAAATTATATGTTTTATTGTTTTCTGATTTTCACCTCCTTAGCCTTAGTTACCCAAATCTTTCCAACTCTTATTCTTAACGGATTCAGAGTTACTAAACTCTGACGTGACAAACTAAAAATCTTTTAATGGTCTACTGGGAAACTAACTCTTTGCTAGTTATTGTTATTTGTCACGTTATCCCTATCCTTGCGCCATGCCAAGGGTGCACATAATTTTTTTTTCAAAATTAAATATTTTTCTATAATCGCCTAATGTTCATCGTCCGGGTCATCCAGTGACCGTACGAATACACCGTTCTCTGCCCTTATTATTATCCAGACTATTAGACTCCAAAATAATTTCGTAACTCGCGGGTTATTGTCCTCTATTTTTTTTTTTTTATAATGATACAAGAACCGCGCGACGCTTAGACAAATCCTTTTCTTTAGAGCGATTTCCTTGTAAAGTCATTGAATCGCTGATAATAATATATCAAACTTTTTAAAGTTTAATGTACTCACGTCCTTGCCGGGGGTTAACAAAATGGCTGTGTTCGGTTTAACGGGCATACCATAATACTGTTAGAAACTATCATTTTTTTTTTCTTTTTATCTGGGGGGGGGCGTACGACTTATGACCATAACCTTCGGGTCAAAGGGTTTGCCTGTAGGCGTCGCGTCCGCTATGCGCCTGCCCCGAATTGCCGCCCGCGTCACGTGCTTGCTATATACTCCTTTATATCCAAACGTTTAGGGCCACCCGCGTTCAGTGTACGTTGGAAAAGTCGCACGACACGGCTATGTGTGCAGACTTGGCCGATGTGTATCCGTTTAAAACGTCTCTCTGAATTTGTGCTTGCGCATTCGCCTTGGTAGCCTTGTTCGACCGCATTTACAGCTCACTCGTGATAATAATAACGAACCGGCAAAAATGGGATGCGGAGGATCAGCGATGCCGCCCATGGCCATGGAAGACACGGCCAACGACATGAAATTAGACATTCCACCGGGTAGATCACACTGTGTTGTAATTCACTTTGCTTGGCCGATACATTGTATAATAACTCTCTGTTTGGTTGGATTTCTGTTTCACCCGTGTAGCCGTTGCTTTCAACGTACCGCTGTCGGAGGAAGAAGAGAGCGTTGTCAAGAAACATCCGCCCAAGAGACTGAGGATGCTGGAAGAGCAAAACTCGCCGCCGTTGACACACGAGATGCTGTTGGAAAAACTGGCCGAAGCCGACCAGAGACGTTTACAGGTGAGAATAGGGTTTAAATCGTGCTTTGTTTTAACGCGTATGATGGCTGTCGTTCGAGCTTGGGATAGCTTTTCAATATTAGCTATTACAAATAGTTGTGTATTGAATATCAAAGTAAAATTATGACGCGACAACTGGGTATTTCAGACATCCGCTAATCTATATAATGTACGCAATCGGCCAGTAAAAACTTAAGCATATTGAAGTACGTTTCGAAATAGAGACAATAGCGGTATACACAGCTAAGAACAATGACTACATATTTTAACAATAATATCTGTAAATGCTCGAATGCAATAGTCCAAGACATTGTAAAATAATATGTATAAACGGTATTCAAACGAGTAGATCAAAATAAAATCGGGGGGGGGGGGTATGTTTAAGTACCTGTATTTCAGCATTATGTAAGAAAATAAACTCGTGTGAAGGCGTTAAGTCTTGTTTAAAAGTATCTACGGTGTACTATTTTTTATCTATATGCTGCGTGTTATTTATTTGAAGAAATGGTTAAAAAGTTATGACGAGTCTGGAAACTGCGAAAAACAAAAATTGTAAAATTAATAGCTTCCTCGGCTCTACTATTGCCAGAAGTAGTATGAGTGCATTGTAAAGAAATGGTCAATACTATATAATAATAATACTAATGTACATTATATATATAAAAATATTTAATATTTTGTAGATCTTAAACCAGAGGATAGAATCAGCCAAGACGTTGATGAGACCAAGGTACAATAGCGCTAGCAAGGCGAACGGGGGCGAAGACAAACTTGAAGAGAATGAAGGCGTGGGTGAAGAATCTTAAAAAAATTGTTCAATAATTAAGATATAATTGTGATTTGTAAGGTTTTATTTTACGATTATGATTGTTTGGGATTTTTTTTATTTATTATATGAATCGTTAGAATTGGCTACAACGTATGTGATGTTTTGTGTAATGATTACAAAAACATTACAAGTACATTGTAACATTAAATGGATGATTTTTTTTTTGCAGATGACAATTGCAGTTAACTAAAAAAAAATAAGTACAATTATACGTCAGGCACTACAGAAGTTGAGTATAGCTCCACATGGCCATCATAGAGAAATAATATGTCGAGTAAATATACATACATAATAATATCGAATACACCTTGTAAATGTTATCAGTTATTATATTGTTGTCAAACGGGAATGAAACAATGTAATTAATCTTTTGTTAATATTTTTTTTATGTATTAAAATATTTTTGATAATTGAATATAATATAAACGTTATTAGTTATTACTTATTACATTTATTGTTTTAAATAAAAAAAAAGGTCTCATTATTAATTTCGTTCATATTGTTATTGAAACATCTTAAAATATAATTATAATAATTTAATTTAGAACTGTTCATAGTTGGGCGTACTTACTATTTAAACTAAGCTATTGCATACTTCATGACAATATATTTAGTATTCCTTATTGGTAGGTAAAACATGATAGGTAATAAACTCGGCTCAATAACATTGATCTTTATTTATAAATTATAATAATATTATTATATTTGCCGTTTAATAACGGTTGTGTTATAGTTTTATTGTAATTATTTTATAAAAAAAACCTAAGCATATGCCTTTTACCATATCGTTCGGCTGTATTAAAACGTGACATATCGACCGAAGTATGACATTTACGGTTATATTATATTACCCTTACATGTTCTATCATTATATCTGATTAGCATATATATATATATATATATATATGTATGCAGTGTGTACGAAATAATACATGACACGCATAAAAATATACTATCCCTATTTTCCCTGATGGACGGCTGGCTATTGATTATGAAAACAATTTCTAAAGAATGATTGACCTGAGTGCTTACTACACTGCCGTAATATCATCTAATAATATTGATTTCTTACGCTTAATATTTAGACTGCGGTTGTAGGAAATTTCTGCAATTAGTACATAATCATACCATGGCCTTTTACCGTGGCGTTATACCATTGATTAATACATTTTTAAGTTAACAGTATCACATTATAGTCTGATTTTGATCTATATACAATATTATATGCAAATAATGAATATAGTTATAACATGAATAGTAAACATAATTACTATAGTATAATATTGTACTCTAAGCAAATTCGACGTGAGTCGCATAATAGTATGTACAACCCCAAACACAAATACCATAAAACACTAAAGACTGTACCAATGCAAAAAAGAGCACCAGCTATTTTTTTAGTATCAAAAACAAGTCCGTTTCTTAAAGCTTTAAATCTATAAACAATTTTTACTTCTATAACTTTCACTTTATGTCGTAAAAAAACAAATCTTCAATCAAATTTGTTTTTAAATAATAACCATTGTAGATAGTCGGTAAATGTATGAAGAGATAAGAACCAAAAAGCCTAAGAAAAGTGTTAATCTTCTTTTCAACCGATTGTTTGATATTACACTGAGAAACGCAACAACTGCACTGAGTTTTATTAAAAAAAAAATAATAATGCGTTTTACACTGGTCATAGTGGCTGCAATTATATAAATCAGAATAGAAATCAGTTAAATTTTACAAGTCTAGTTTTATCGGATGCCCTTTTTCAAACGTGTTCAACCTGACGTGGTACACACTTGTGCATTTATCAGGTACTATTTTTTATTTTATTGTTATTCATTTGTTTCTTTAAGGAAGTTAAAACCATAAAATATCTCGTGTCCATTGCCAAGGAGAATTATCTTCTGAATTTCCAAGTAGGTATTTAAACGCGTTGCAAATAATTTCTACAATAAAATTGGTACAAAATGAAGACGATGAAATTTTACATTCTAGGTATATATATATTTTTTTTTTTTTTCATTTGTATTATTGTTACCAGCCATCAATAAGTACTCTTTAAAACAATATAGATTTTTAATGTTCAATACCAATGTGTTATTTATATTTATACACATTATGAAATATTATACTAGGTATTTATTAACCGGTGCACCGCATGAAAATTATTAATGCAAAGCAAAATAATTTAACTATAGGACTCTTATCAATTACATGGCCGAATTAAGATTATTTACATTTGATTTTCAAGTATTATAATCTATACAATGCAATGCAAGATAAGACGTTGAGTGGGTAATAATCTGACCTACTTTGTCAATATTGTCGCATTGCAAATATTTAGAAATACACATTATTGATTATCATCGTGTAACCAATCATAGTTATACTTAGGAATAAAAACAAAAATGTTTTACTACACCTCTTATTGTTATTAGCAGAATATCATGCGAGGTAATAAAAATGCGTAAATTCAATTTTTTCAACAATCAGGCTGTATAATTAATACTTGGAACTTAGTTTTTTAAATTATATTTATTTTTTCTACTTGCCAATAAACCAATCGAATTAAATTTCGAAATATGTATGGAAGTTATAAGCAATATATTTAATATATGTAATGAAATACGTTTGTCAGTCGTTAAAAAAAAAAGTAGACTTTCAATAATTTTAGGTATATGTAGAATGTTATGTAAATTGATTTTCATTCAACTGTACCTGTTCACTTATCATTTTAATTAAAAACTCGTACAAAACATATTTACAATGATTTATAACTATAAAACGTATGAAAATAAATTATTTCTTGATTTAGTCACGTACAAACAACGCAACGTTATTACTGAAATTTTAATACTCTCTTAATTTTGTAGTTTAGTCATTTAACTAGTATAAGTATAAGATAAAACATGACATGTGTTGTCAGTCGGACAGTATGTTATACAGCGTTGAAGAATGAGACGGAATGGGCAGTAAAATTAAGTTGGACTTTTTTTTATTAACTTGAATTGAAAATGTCACAAGTGTAAGATATTTTGTTAACAGCGCTTGGTAAGTTTTAAAAAAGTCAAGTCGGATGAGTTTTGAGGTGTGCTGTTCAAAGTGTCGCGTTTAACGTGACGTCATATTTTTATATTATTCATTTTCAAAATGACATGGGTCAAAAAACTATTGATAGAAATATTCATGTTGAGTTTATTTATGCAACGCGCGAACCGATGGCCAAACGCGTGCATTTAAGGACTTGCTTAAATATATTGTAGACCGCTTGTGTTTAATAATAATAATAATTATTATTATTATTGTTAGTACTCACTTAACACAAAAAAATTAATATTGCGAAGGTGTTCCGACGTTTAAAGGTCTCTGGAAGACGGTCGACAGTTTTAAGATTCCTAATGACTATATTACATACACTATTCTGTACTTGAATTTCGGTTTTGCACTCTGCGTGCTAAATTCCCTAATCGTAGAATTAAATTGGTGCAACTAGGGGGGGGGGGCTAGGTAAGTTCATATCACGAGCTACTAACCGGGCATAGTCCACGAGTAAGGTTCATAACTTTTACTGAAGTTCAAAGAGGGCTTAGCCCACCTCCTTTAGTTGCACCAATTTGTGGAAATTAGTATACTAGTAAATAATACAGACAGTATAAAATCCGTTATCCCTGTCGGAATATAAATTATATATTATAAATAATATGTCGTTTTAATAATTATTGTTATCTTAATAAACACACAAATTTCTTCCGGACAAGTACGCGTTATGTTTCTTCTGTGATCAGCGGGGCTCTAGTGTAGATATAATATTATCAATAAAATATCTGACGTAGCGAACAAGGTCAAGACTTCTCCGAGATGTGATTGTGATTTTCGTTTAGCTATTTTTTCAATAATTGTCGTTGTTAGTTTTTTTTCTTTCTTTATTTTGTTGACCCTAAGGATTTTGTACTTCGGACGGTTTGTTCCGGGAAGACTTGCTGCTGAGATCGGCGGGCGTCTGGTGCGCTGCTGGCGGATTCGGCATGGAGAGAATGAACGGCTGTTGACCGGACGACGCCTGTTGCAACTGCCTGCCCAGCTGACCCAGCCGGAACAGAACCGCAGCCTGTTGGGGCCCGGCAGCCGACGAGTTGACCATGGCGGCCAAGTTCGAGTACACTAGTTCCGCGTTGCTGGTAGACAATCGGAAAATTCCTGCAAAACAAAAACACAAAAAAAAGTCAATTAAATACAGTAAATATCGCATTCGACAAATCGAGGATCGAGTAGTATTCAGGAAAAAAAAGATCAAATGCTCTGTTCAATGAAAACACCCGCTTTAAACGAATTACTGAAAAAAAAAATTCTGTAAATAAAAAAATTACACATAAATTCTGTAAAAAATGACAACGAATAAGCAAAGTACTTAGAAGAAGACTACTTGACAAGAAGAAATAGTACTCGCGGGCAAATGACGTCAAATACCTAACATCAAACATATTTTGATTGTCCAAAAGTACAACACCGTCCGAGACATACATATATTATATAGAAAACGCCTACCTATAGGCTATTGATAGATTGTGTAGTCATAGAAAACGACGAAAAATATATAAAATATGTATATATTTATATATAAATGTATTATAGTCTATAGAAATGTTTTTTTTAAATACTGACATAGCCTACGAACAGTTAACCCACTAGTTTTTTAAAATAAACTTAAACTTATAATGTTTTTGGCTAGTCAGTTTGGATCTGTCTATTTTGATACAATATTAAACGCAACTTCACATCAAATGGATTTACTTGAATTTACACACATCGTATAATAATATTTTTCTATAAAACAAGATCTTCACAGAGTGGTGTAAACGGGAAATGGTAAACTGCGCCAAAAATGACACTTTTTCTATAAGCTGATTATGTAAACTGCGGCAAAAAAATTTAAACATTATACAAACTGCGACAAAAATGATAAGGCGCATTCTACAAACTGCGACAATTTATTTTATATGCCTACTATATAGGATATAATATACTTATATTAGCTATATACAATAATACATACTGATACGGTAGCATATACTCGTGTAGTACAATTTTGCGATTATTTAACAGAAACTTATATGTAAGGTATATTCCCTCCTTCTTTGTGGGCATCATCATCAGAAGTTTTAACAAATAATGTAAGTGAATCTTTCCCTTCAAAATTTAATGCATATTTTTATCATCATTATCATCCGTCGCTATATACATTTATACGTGTTCTACAATATATTCAAGTTGATACATACATAAAAGTTACGAGTGCAGAAGAAGGTATAATACAACAACGAAACATAATTACTACTCAAAAATACAAATTTATAAACGAACAACAAAAAAAAAAAAATGTATTATTATTTAAGTTTTTTATTTTCTTAGACAGTATTATATTACAGTAGTCTATAAAACTTATTACTATTATTAGATGTACAATTTAATGTTAGTTAAATAATAATATTTTTCAATTTAATATGTATTTTAAAATTGTTTTTTTATTTTAATTTTTACACCTTTACACCTATTGACTATGTGCACACCATAGATCTATAATAATATATGGTTCAAGGTAGCATTCTTATCGGTATTCAGTATGTATTATAGTATATTATATACTATATAGTAGGTATATAAAATAAATTGTCGCAGTTTGTAGAATGTACCTTATCATCTTTGTCGCAGTTTGTATAATGTTTAAATTTTTTTTGCCGCAGTTTACATATCAGCTTATAGAAAAAGGGTCATTTTTGGCGCAGTTTACATACAGCCGTGTAAACCACCAAGGGAATTCAAAAACGGATTTTCGATGCATTAATATTTGAAATTGAAATTGTATTCTCAGCGAATTAGTCATATTAATTTTTTTTAATATCTAGTGTAAAACTCAAAATATACACCTAGTAATAGACAACTTTATAATAAATAAATATCGAGTTTCCAAACAAAGTTTCCACATTGCAAGCACGTTTTTCTCCCCGGCAAAAGATTAAAACATTTAATTTTTAGTGATTTAGTAGTACAAGTTGAGTATCCAAAAAATATGTAGTGCAAGGTTAAACATTTAGCGTTCTGTGGCATAGACAAACTTCATTGGCACAACAGTAAGTATAGGAGTCATAAGTGTTTTATAAAACGTTATGACCCAATAGAGAGTCTTAGGGTCGTAGCTATTAGATCTTAAGTATTCGTATGCTTCTATATACACATAGATAGGTATATTATACTGGTCACTCGTGACTCGTGTATAACGTATTTTGTATAACACGTCATTATAAAACAATACCGCTGTTCAATAATAACCAACTCGTTTGGAATACTAAATAAATTTGTTTTAAACAAATTATTTCAATAGTTGGCGAATAACATGTCACAATACCATCAGAACGAGAACCATATAAAAGAATACGCAATATTAAACTTCTTTAATTGATCTTAAACGTTCGAGTTGAACTTTTCTATTAAAGTGTCAATCACAAACAATCGTTTTTACATTTCGCGCGTGGGACTTAGATATTATGGTTGACGTGCAATTAAATCAGATTAAATAATAACTTAATTTTAATACTTTTGAAATTTCCTTATTTCAAATGATATACACATATGGTTGATAAGTTAAGTTTGATAAGCAGTTCATAAGTTACATAATGTTCAACTAAATGTATTTCATAATACAACATTTTCTATTTTCGTTGTGTTCGGGTTAGGTTAGGCAAAGTTAGCCAATTCGATTAAAACGAGTCGATATATTTGTATTATAACATTTATATATAGAAGTATGACAAAGTCAATATTACCGTACAGTAACATATATATATATACTACACGCGTTGATAAATAAATACATTTACAGTGTGTTTTTTTTACTTTACTCTATATGGGGGGGGGGGTGGGATGAAGATGCACCGGGGGGCACGCTAACGGAAAATGTGCGTTGAATAACATAGGAGATTATATAGGACGAATATTCATATTATTATACAATATATTGTATTGGGACAGAGCTACTTGTCCATGCACGAAGCGAACTCGCTAAATCAACTATTCATTCTTCATTCATCAATATGACAGGAAATCGATGGAGCCACTTCCGCAGACCACACTAATAACACACACACAGGTACCTACTACGCCTACGTTAAAGGCACAACCGTAATGCGTAATGGATTGTAACCTAACGGTGTAAAAGTTAAGGACAATTATGTTTTAAAGTAAAAATGTTTGAAAAGCAATTGACTATTGAATAAAACAACAGTCAACACGAACCCAAGACGTCTCTCAAAATATGTTTTCTTAGCAATATTAAAATGTTTTCCCTTTCGGCAAACATGCGGTTGTTTCTTAATTAGTTACTACCGTCAGATGATGTCCAATCTATATTATGTTCAATGTGCATATTGTTTAACCCTCCGTTAGTCACCTGATTATCGGTCACACTTATAAATGAAGTCTGACTGGCGTACATTTCTTACCTGAGTGTGGCTACAACTTGGTCAAACGATTTTTTTGTAAAATTTGGGTTAAGTGTTAAATACAATTGTTTATACAATTGCTATCCATATTTTTAATTTATCTATTTGTTTTTTTTTTTTGCGAATTACCAATTGATGTTTTTTTGACGTTTGTGTTGAATCTCTTGTTTAAACTGTCGTCATGTGATATGACCCTGATTAAATTTCAAAGGCAATAAATATTTTACTTTCAAAAATTTCACACTCCAGCAAATATTATGGCACAATACACATATAATATTGTTTATTACAATAATATTGTGAGCTCTACATAGAAGGTTTACCGTTTATTTATTTATTTTAAAGCCGCCTTGCATGTTTCCAGTAAATAGTTATCATATATATTTTAGACAAATTGTGCAATTGCTTTGGTTTAATTATTTTGCCAGGAAATAAGTGAACTCTCATAAAGTCACGAGAGCCAAGTAAAATGTACAATAAAACTCATTATCAATTATTTATATTTGTGCACTCGTTTAATTTTTGTTTGCAGTAGATAATATTTTTAATCTGAAATTATAAATATCTCTACTTCTTTGGACGTTGTATACTATACTTCTAGAATATCTGAAGATGTTAACCAAATGTCAAACTAATTATCTATGTAAAAGAGATATTATGTGGAGATGTAGAGAATGTGATTATGTGGTTGTTGTATATCAGTACATGCAATATAATCGAAAAAATGGTTAGTACTATTGTACTCGTAAAATAATTAAAATAATGATAATTTTAACAAATTATCTGAAATATGTACGTTATAATTATATCTATTGCCAGTGTGTGTACACCAGGACTTGGGTACATATTTTCACATGCTCTTTTAGGCTTAGAATCGGGTAAAGCGTTCACTTTCGGGGTGTTGCCCGTCACTAAAATAGGCGCCCAATATGTGTGTACAATTATAGAATATGTATTATAATAGCTGCTGATTGTCGGTTCCAAATCATGTGCACGAGTACACATTCCTGTAGACGCCGGTTTTTTAACCGATAATCATTTTTCTCTCCTCCGGTCGCACACGCTTTATTATCAGATTATAATAAGAAAAAATAAATATGCCGCCTAAATGACACGTTAAATTCTCTTTGTCACGACGACAAGCACACACACACACACACTTGACACCTCGGTTTGTGTCGACGACGAGACGACACAAACCGCATATCACAACGCGTCAGCTACAATAATATTATATTCGCAGAGAGGGCACGCCTCGCACATAATAATAATACAACCGCTGTGGCGGGCGGCTACGGGGCACACAACAACAATGGCGCGTTTAAATTGCACTTTTCTTATTAACGACCGCTCACGATATATGTATGTATATATACATATTTAATAACAATAACGCGATAATAATATTCTGAATTGACGTCTGAATCGCGTATACTATACAGAAGATAGGACCTCTCGACCGTGTGTGTATTTAATAAATTACCATAGTATTATTATTATTGTTATTGTTATTGTTATTACATTGCATATTATAAATACGCGTACATACGCGTGTGCAGCGCGCGTACCCCCGAGCATTGGCTCGTATTGTTTCGGGCCGGTTCAGCCCCGAAAACCGCCGCGGTCGACGATCATTTTTGTCGCCCGAAAATCTTCCACGCCAGAGATACGGCATCTACAAACGCCTTAGTAGTCGTCCCCGGGGTTCAAGGGTGAGTACACGCCAATCACGTTGACTTTTTATCCACCGGCCAATCATCGACCAGTCATCGCGGACCGTGTGGAATGCGCGAGCGAGAGAAAGAGAGAGACGATTAACCAAACATTTACCAGGAGGACTCGCGTCGACAAACAACGAAAACACAATGCGACACCGATGATTAGGCTAATTTGTAAAAAAAAAAAAAAAAAAAAAACAATAATAATGACTTCACCGATATCGTCGAGCGGCGGGTGGCCACAGTACGCGTGTGATAAATTGTAAGTATACCAACAACTTACTAGCACTTTAAAAAAAAAAAAACCGCGGACCTCACGCATTAAAATGAGATAGCGCGCGGCTCGGGTGCGTTCAGTTTGCCTACCGAAAACGCCGTCGAAGATGACAAAATAATATATCCTCTCAAATTTTTTCGATCGATACAATCTGTCCATTGTTGAATTTATGAAACCCGCGCAGTAGTTAGCAGCTCTGTGTAATCCTAATTTAGAGATAACGGAGAATTTGAACAAGGGAACATCGAGCTCAAGAAGAAAAGGATTTATTTGTAGAAATATAATCACTCATTTCATTATTTCGAAATTATAAGTGTATTTCTATAAACATTGCATTTGTACTTTCCACGTTTGTTTACAATTAGCCTGTCTGATCGTGTGATTTATTTAAACCAATTAAAGTGATGAGGGCCACCGAACAGGTACACATTTTGCATCATAAAATATTTGCTGTCAACGAGATCTTTGTCTAACTCAATTTGTTTAATAATTTGATACATCATTTCATTGTGCTCTCCTGTAAAATGTTATAAAAGTTACTTAAGATGTCATAATATGCCCTTTATCTTTTTACCACTTAATAAACTTTGTCGTCTAATAATCAATATTAATGCACCTTTACTACTTTTATAACGGCTATAAGCACAACTTGTATAAATCTTAAACTACCCTGCGTGGAGGGCTAAAGTAAGGAGATGTCTTCACAAACGGCTACAACAATAGAAACGAATATCTTTCAATGGTTTTTGATTATAAAAGCAAAACATTGATAAATTGCAATTATTTTGTTTTTTCCCTAGCGGTCGAGCTTAGAAATGAAGCTCGGATAAATTGTCATGTATGTACTTAACTATATCCGTCGATACAGCTTAATCGACGATAGTCTTAACGGCGTGTACCTACCTACACAATACTAATACGTTGTATTACCGTTCCTATTAGTGCGATCGGTTGTCGTGGAGTAACAACAATTGTGATCGGACTCAGCTTCCGGTATACACGACGGTTGTGCTGGCATAAGCCGTTTGGACAAGAAGGCACTTTTTATACCTACCGAGTTTCCAACACAAAACGTGACAGCCGACCGAATAGGAACGGACGATGCCATACGGTCTACCACCGTATACGCGGGCATTTTATATGTTATTCAACAAACGTACCCGCAAGACGCGTTGAGACAGTTTTTTTTTTCCACTCTTCTTTCGTTATAATATTATTTTCGCGTACGATGCGAGCAAGCGCAGCCGTAAAAGGTCAGATCGGAAACGATAATGACGGCCGGGAAGTAGTAGTAATAAGAATACAAATAGCCGAGAAAAAAAAAACAACAACAGAAGATAACACAACGAAAACAATAATAATTCCTAACCCGTCCGCTTACCGGGAGACGCAGCGGCGGCAGCCGCTGTTGCCGCGGCAGAGGAAGACGGCGGCGACCGGGCGACGTCCGACACGGCGGCAGGAGGCGGTGACTCCGACCCGCTAGACTCTGCGCCGCTGTCCGACGCTCTTGAGCTCATCCCGTCGGTTTCCTGGAAACAAAAAAAAAAAAAATGCGTTTTTTACACTTCCTGTTGAGGTTATACGAACGGAACGACATTTGTGTAAATAATAATCTAACCTAGGCATGACCCCCCCCCCCTCTATTCCCTCCCAACCCATCCCTTTTAAGCCAGGTATATTAAGAGGGCGCCACACCGGCCATTTCTAAGGAGTAAAGTATGGGCAATTTTTCGAAAAATCTTAATTTGGAGTTTGAACTATAATGTATACTTATTAATACAGTAATGAGGATACTTTGTCGATTGCCATTTTTTTTTTGTCATACAATCTCACAGTCATGTCTACAGGATAAATTACAATTTTTTCGCCATCAAAACTGCTTTGCGTGGATTAATTTTTCTCAGGCTTCATGCACCTATAGTTAAGGAAAGAAATTCATACTTATTATTTATGACAAAATTATCTGTGTTCTATCATCCGTATTTTTTCGACATACCTAATACAACCAACGCTATATCATTTTTAAAAATGTCAAAAATGTCTTTTCTTAATTAATTAATTATTCATTAACTGGTTGAAATATTTAAAAGAAGGACGAAGGTAGAACACGGACAATGTTGTTGTCTATATTATGTAAAAATTTGGTTTCTTAGTTTTGATTTTAGCCTTTGTTAAATGAATCCGCGCAAGGTAGGTTTTTTGTAGAGAATAACGGGTGTGTGACGTTCTCTTAAGGTATAATGCATATATTTTTTTTAGTTTTACACACACACTCCCCATTCTGCATACTACCAAATTGTGTATTCATTTTAAATAGTGTAGCTGCTGGTATAGTTGAGTGGGTAAAGGTATACAGAGAAAAGATTCGGGAGAGAGGTAAATGACAAATAGCATTAAAAATAGAAGGTCGAAATCCGTCGTCCTACAAAAATCACTTTAGGGACGACCTTACTTAATTTATCTCAAACCTATCGAAAAAATGTATTTATGTACTTAAAGAAATACGAGGAAGTCAAGGAAAAATAAGAAAAAGAGTATGATTTACGTCATCAATTAGATTAATATTAGTATTGTGTATATATTCATTTTACATGTTAGTGAAATATAACTTGTTATAAAACTATCAAAACAAAACACATTTACACATGAAAGCAAAAAAAAAAAATCATGAGACTAATTTTATTTTTTAAATATTAAGATTGTTGAACAATCTTAAACAAATTACATTTAAATTTGATTTCTTTTTTAAATCTATTATGGACGACAATAAAATAAAATAAAAAAAATCTTAATACTTTTTCATTAGTGGCGTACGCATGGCAGTCTTTAAATGTGGTATGTTTAAAACAAATTATTTATGTCTTGACTAAAAAAAAAAACACGGAGCCTAAGTTCTAGCTGTATTAAACAGAATAACGACAACGAATATACATTAATAAAAGTACTAATAGCCTTTTGTTTCCTATATGTAAAGCTGACAGATAATTACACTAAAATTAATATAGTAGGTACACCGGTAACTATATAATGCTGTTTAAGCGTAATATATAACTGCTCTGCAGTCGTACATTAGAAGACAAAAAAAAAATGAATAGAAATTATATTTGTAGTAATGTTAACCCTAATGGGCGGCTATTTATCACGGAGCGCTTAGCCGGAATTGTACAGCAGGTGTGATACTAAACGCTGCCGGGAATCTCAGTGTTCACGAGTGATCTATATAATCATTAGGCGATATTAACCGGACGATTTGGACGCACGTGCTTTTTAAATGTATAAAATCAACGTTGTACGCACGATAAGACGGGAAGAGAGGCCAAGAAAAGCCTCTTATTATTTGTATATACAGGTAACAGTAGTTAAGTAACATATTTACAATACTCCAATGCAATAATATTTGAAAATATTCGTTTGAGTACTTTGAAAACATTTATACTTATAATTTTGCGCACGCACTTTTTCTCTTACAATTATTATTACAATTACATTTTATCGTTACTTTTAATAAAACGTACAATTCAAATATTCTAAAAATTCTGTGTGTCTATTTTTATATGAAAATTATAGATTTTGTGGCAGCATTCTCCCCCCATCTTCCCCCCACAAATTTGTACTACCGAACCCGATGCCTTTTCGACTTGACCGAGGAGATAATACTATATAATCGACTTAAACACATCCTCGGGGCTACCGACTATTATACATAAGTAGTTTTATAGTATAACACAAGTAATACATAGCTATCGTAGTACGCCCTTCGGACGTGCGTTACCGGAGACTTTAACGCTTCCGTGCGATAAAAAAATAATGATAATTTCAAAATCCGGCCGAATCGATCGAAACCCATAATGATAGATCCCGAAAAATCTCGAGTCCGCACATGTCCGCTATCCGCACGAGCCCCCTAAGTACGTTTCGACATTCTCGAATCACTGTTATTCCACAGCACAGCCATTTAAGGCATCATTCCGGTGTCCGTAATGTTTCTGACTATTTATTTTTTTTTTTTCGTTGATGTTATATGTTATGCCTTTCGTCGACTCGTACCAGTATGAGCACGGGTAAGTATACATTATTATTATTATTATATATAGCGGTGCAATAGTCGTTTGGAGTGCGGCGGCGATGCGACGCACAGCTGGGTATACGAGTATATTACTATAACGATGGTTGCCGGCTAAAAAATCGTATAGAGTGTACACATATACACTGGTACGGGACATTTTTGCGCGCATACTTTGTGGAAGCGTGCTTTTAATTAATGACGGACGGACGGTTGCCGGTGACCATAAACGTGGTATGCCGGGCATGTTGGCACGGGCGAAAAAACATCGGTCAGGTTAGGCATTCGGCACGGCCAGTTCGAGTATTGTTTACAAATTTCGAGGATACCGACAATTGTTATTTTATTCCGTTTTATTGTCTTATGTACACATACACAGAAGCACACCTCCCCATCCTCGAGTGTAGAGTATAGCTCGGGCACTAGACTAATGATGGTTACTGTGTGTTTCAAGGCATTACAGAAAAAAAAAAAAAAAAAAAAGCAAACAAAATTGACAATAATAATAATAAGTAATAAAAAAAAAAAAAAAAAAAACGATTGCGCATACAATGGAATTACACTTGAAAATACCACTCATAATAAAACACACACACATACTATACGCGCGCTAGACGGTAGTCGCCTGCGGTGGTGGAAAAGTGGAGATGAATAAAAAAAAAAATAAGTATCGAGGACAAAGACTGTCTGCCCCCGGACGCGTCGATATTGAAAAACCGACCGATCGATCGATCCCGGTGTACCGAATCCCGCAATACCTATATAGTAAATTATACACATAATAATATGTGTACCTATACTATACTACTCGGATGATACTCTGTTGCGACGACGGCGACTCGAGTACAAAGATCGGGAGGAAGCGCGGGGTACGATCCGAATAAAACGTTTCGAGGAATAAAATAAAAAATAAGTAAAGAATAATATATAATATTAAAAAAAACTCTCAACAGGATGGCCGTTATTTATAGGTACAACAACCGTGATTGACACTCGGAATGTGGATCTCCGTCCACCCCGTTGCATCGCAGCTGCTGCTGCTGCTGCACCGGCTAACCGCTCGCCAATATTGTCGTTGCGCCGTCTTTTGTTATAGCGGCGTGACACGGCCAAACCCAATGGTTTGGTCCGACAAATCCGACCAAAAGGGCAAGCACACGCATCGCGCCCCTTGCCCCTATGTATGTTTGCTACTCTCGGTCTCGGTCGCGCAGCAAGTCAGTCGCGTTATAAACACACCCGGACGATCCAGTGATCTGAATGATGCGTTTTTGTCAACAAAACAAGTGAAAACAACGGCGGCTCCTTCACAAAGTTGTTACAGACATGTGGGTCGATTTTCAATGTACTCGAAACGAATAATTATTTTTATTCCGGCGGCGGCCCCTCGATGATCATTACCTGCGGTGGCATAAAATTACACTGTAGGTCGTCAAGGATTTCATAGAAAATGCGCACACGCCACGCTCCGGCACGTGAAACAAATGCGATTAAGACCATATGGTCGAAATTGAGTGCAAAACCGGAATGTTTGTGTACACAGCCAACGGTCGTTCACATCAGAGCCCCCCCAGTACAGTCGTGGCCGAACAGACTGGTAAAATTTTCGGAACCCAAGTCCGTTGGATTACTTTTATCGAACTGAAAATTCTCAGGTCGCATAGACGGACGCAATCGGTTGACACTTGACGGTATTGTCGACTGTGTCCGTCAGCGATACACATTAAAGATAATAACGCATAATAATATTGTAAACGGTATGATGAGATAATATTCTTAATTAATCACGCGTTAGGTTACACGTTGGTTTTCTCGAAATAAATTAACCGTAAGTATTACATTAGGTCTAATCCGAGTCCATTTACGGATTCAACGAAAACAGCACATCTCACCGTCCCATCTGTTCCGCATCAATCACGCGGCAAACGACGTTAGTTCGCACGACTTTCAAAATGAAACTCTATACAGCAGTTATTATTATTAGATTTGTGCTATATTATATTGTTCAAGCGGGCACTTTAATAAACTTCAGTCTTTCGTATTGTTTTAACTCCGTAATTATTATGATAACAGCTGTTATGCTAAACCATATGGATTTGTTGTCCGGCTAAACCAACAGGTGAACACTGACTACACTGACGGTAGCACAAGAGGATAACTTTGAAACCGTGCCCATTTAAATGATGTTTAGTCGAGGCGATCAATTAATTAACAACCTCTTAACCGGAAGGATTTTGAACATCTTGTGAACATCTCTTTTACCTCCTATATACAATAGTCTCTAATTTCATAGTTATAAAATAAAAATTCTTTGAACTTGTTTACAACGACTAGTATTATAACATTGGTATAGAAATATTTTCGGGGGCGTCCAAGGTTTGATTGTAAAAAGCCTGGCAATAATTAATTCTCCAGTTGTTGTTTATATGTTTGATAAGCTTCACCTGGACGTTCATTTAACAACAG